CGGAAACAGGCTCCAGGCTCTGAGCTAGCTGTCAGCACAGAGCCCGCTGCGGGGCTTGAACCTACGAACCATGAGGTCTGATCTGATCTGAAGTTGGACGCTTATCAGACTGAGCCACCCAGGCGCCCCTGCATTAGTAGCTGCATTTTAAAAAGCAAAAAGGAACAAGGAAAATTGATTTTAATAGTACTTTAAATCACTATTATAGAAATATTTCAACAAATTATCTAATATAAAAATATTAAGGAGATTTTTTAAATTCTATTTTTCAGACAACTCTTTGGAACTTGGTATGTATTTTACATTTAAAGCTCATGTCAATTTGGACTTGCCACATTTCAAGGGCTTCAGAGTCATATATGGCTAGTGGCCACTGTCTTGGATGATACAGTTTCACAGTAACTAAATACTGCGGAGAAGACACAGGCAAATACTTGCTCTGTAGTAAAATCCAGATGTTTCCAAGGAAATGATCATTCTGAGCTGGTCCTGAAGCCCAGAGAGATTCCTGAAAGGTGATGTTTCTTCTCTACATCCTACACATTCCTCTCATGCCAAGCCACGGACCAGAGGGCTCTGATCACAGAATGTAGCGCAGGCCAGGCCACTGCATTTCCCACCCATCCACTAATCTGTGAGACAGAGTTTACCTTTGAGGAGGAACTAGGTCAAAGAATCCATTTCCAGGCAATCTTATTGATCAGAAGATATTTAGTGTGTAGGTTTAGTGTGAGCTTGCCTGTCAATGGTATCTATTATGAATTTGGCCAATTAACTAAAATCTCTTAGGCTTCCTCCTCTATAAAATGAAGACAGTGAGAGAACTTGATTTTCAGGGTTGAATTAAGAATGGTCTAGAATAGGAGCGCCTGGGTGGCTCAGTTGGTTGAGCATCCGACTTCAGCTCAGGTCATGATCTCATGGGTCATGGGTTCGAGCCTCGCGTCGGGCTCTGTGCTGACAGCTCAGAGCCTGGAGCCTGCTTCAGATTCTGTGTCTCCCCCTCTCTCTGACCCTCCGCTACTCGTGCTGTCTCTCTCTCTCTCTCTCAGAAATAAATAAAACATTGAAAAAAAAAAAGAATAGTCTAGAATAGTTCAGGCCAATCGGTTCATGTGCAACTTGACCCATGGAGAACTATGGATGGTAGCTATTTGATGGACTCCAGTGAAAATGTGGGGACCTCTTCCATGGGGCCTTCTCTAAAGAAAGATGATATTCAGTCCAGAATAGACCAATAGCCCCCTGTAACACCGTCCCAGGGAACTCACCTTCACACTGGAAATGTTCAAACTGCTCAGAACTGACTTTATATCCTCCCCACAAAGTTTTGTCCTCCTGATAACTCTGAGAAGTTCCAAGCATCATGGAAAGCAAAGCTCTATCCCAGAGGCCTACCAGTGATTCTCAACTCCTAGGGCGCTCCGCTGAGACCTGATTGGTAAGAGGCAGGGGAAGGCTGTATATAATTTAGAAAATCATAGCCAGTGATCAGAAGCAGATTTACCCGGAAGCTAATGAAACTCAAATGTTAGGCCCAAAGGCCCGAGAAGGGGCTCTTGACTGGGTCTCATTTTTTGTAAAATTTCAACGTTAAGATATTTCATTCACAGCTGGTTAAACTTGTTTATTGGCGGTTAATCTTCCCTTTCATGATGGTTCACTTTTGTCTGATTATGTGGAGATACTGAAGAACATATCTGGATTTGGGTAAGAGAAAACTTAGTTGAATATATTCAGTTTGGGGTTAATGAGATGTAAAGTATGATTTGCAGACGTGTTCATATACAGTTCAGTTGTTCTGGCCAATCTGATGTTAGAATGGTGTTAAGGAGTTTTCTCTTGTTCACAGACAAACACCTGGATTACGGACAAAAAGATGTTAGACTTAATGTTGTTATATGACATCTACATATTCCTAGCAACCGCACTGGCAGTGAGCGTATAGTACAGATGAATTAAGATTTGAAATGTACAGAACTGGAAGCCAGTCCATGAACAATTCTTCTAAATTTTACAGCTCGCGTATGCAAGAAGCTCAATGGGATTTTCTAAATTTGAAAATGGTCTTATACATGACATTACCAGTAATGTGCTTTGAAGCTGATATTCTACTAAGTGATCAAGAGAACAAAACAATTTGTGATCAATCGTGCTGGAGGAAGTTCTGAATTCTCTTCCTATTGTATATATGGAAAATATTACAAAATAACTTTCAAGTGAAGATGAGGTCAGAATACGCAGACAAAAACAGGAAAATAAGCCTTATAGTGTTGTATTCGAGAGTTAATAAAACGTGCTATTTTTCTGCTTTGTGATGGCTATGGTTTTATTTTTGCAAAATTGGAATTTGGCTCATCTTTCCATTAAAAATTAATATTCACTATCTAGTTTCAAATTTGAAATTTTGAATTAAGAGTTGCCAAGTTGTGTAAATTTTAGGCCTCAGAAAAACTTGAACTACAATTATACTTTTACACTTAGGAAATTAACAAAGAAATTAACACATAAGTGGGTGATTTTGTACTTATTAAAAGGGGATATGGGTAAGAGAGTGCTCTAATGTTGCAACTCTTCCGTATCTCAAATCCCATTGATTTCAAGTTGCAGAAGCAAAGAAATTTGGATACTGATAAGGCTTATTTATTTTGTTGCATGAAGGTCTTTAGTGGGTCTCCGGTGGGGAGTACTGAAGTCAGTTTCTATCACTTGAGCTTCAATCCCATGTCAAGTAGACCAATACTTGAGTCAGGAGTGAGGATACATGACTTTCGTGGACTATTGAAAACTTGATGGATACTGATCATGTTAACTAGATTGATTTTTATTATAAGTGGACTAGAAGGAAGTACAGGAGATGGTCAGGAGCTCCTACAAACTTCGTAAGTAAATGCTGTTCTCTTTGATTACAACCCAACCAGGTAGAAAATGCAATCTAAGAATGAGCGTTTCAGAGAATTGCACTACAAATGTTAAAAACAACAACCGAAAACTCCCTGGAGGGGGCGCCTGGGTGGTTCAGTCAGCTAAGCCTCCAGCTTTCGCTCGCGTCACGATCTCATGGTTGGGGAGTTCGAGCCCCGCGTTATCAGACTCTGTACAGACAACTCAGAGCTAGAGTCCGGGTCTCCCATCTCTGCCCCTCCCCTACTCGCAAGATCTCTCAAATATAAACATTAACTGGAAAACTCAAATCCAATTTTACACTTTGTCCTCAATTTCCTGTATACACGTTAAACTTGTCTAAATTGTGAGAAAATTAGGTCTGTATTCTACAAGTCGCCAGCACTTGCTAACAGAACTGACTAGGAGTAAGGGACATGCAATGTTCAGATACTTACCACTAGAAACACATCTGCAAATTATTACTTTCCGTACCGGCTCAAATACGCCCCAATAGTTTGCTAAGCTACAGCTGCTTTAAGAGAAGGTGTGGGTGGCTCTGAAAAGAGCCTTTTTCAACCGGAAGTCGACTTTACGCCCGCTCGCCACGGATGCGGCGCGCCAGCTGGATGTCCTTGGGCATGATGGTGACGCGCTTGGCGTGGATGGCGCACAGGTTGGTGTCCTCGAAGAGCCCCACGAGGTAGGCCTCGCACGCCTCCTGCAGCGCCATGACGGCCGAGCTCTGGAAGCGCAGGTCGGTCTTGAAGTCCTGCGCGATCTCGCGCACCAGCCGCTGGAACGGCAGCTTGCGGATGAGCAGCTCGGTGGACTTCTGGTAGCGGCGGATCTCGCGCAGGGCCACCGTGCCGGGCCGGTAGCGGTGCGGCTTCTTGACGCCGCCCGTGGCCGGCGCGCTCTTGCGGGCCGCCTTGGTGGCCAGCTGCTTGCGCGGGGCCTTGCCGCCCGTCGACTTGCGCGCCGTCTGCTTCGTGCGAGCCATTTGGAGCAACTAAAGGCACACCCAGAACCTGGCCGCCCAGGGCGAAATTCCCTTTATATACAGTAAGAAGCATTCTGATTGGTCTTGTAATTTTTCAAAAGTTCCGCGCGAGAAAACCATTGGTTGGAGGTCAGATTAATTACTGGAAAGCCTGATTGGATGAATTACTCCACCTCTACGCCTCTTTTCGGTGTCAGGGGTGTTTTATCCTTTCACCTACTGTAACGAGGATTTCTCCATTTGAAATGTGGTTCCGTAAACCTAAGTGGGACCGGAGATTCTCAGTTCTCGGCAGGCTCGAATGTTACCAGTCCTGCCCACTTCCCTGAGTGTAGCGGTCTTGTCTTCTCCCCTGGACGGTTGGATGAATTATTTTAAAGTAAATCTCGGGTGGCCTGGACTGCCACTGTCATTGGCCATGATACCTCCATTAATCGTTTTCTCGCGTGAAACTATATGGCAGGGTCCGTAGGTGGACTTGGTCTGGTAATTCTAGATACGCACAATGGCCAGCAACAAATGATCTCGGACTTCGGTTTGAGAAAATGGATTTTCCTTAAACTCAATTTGAAAATCGCGCGCGGCTTTCTTACTGGCTAAACGCAAATTTCCGTTCTGCTTGTTATCCTTACATTTGAACCCCTTTACTTATTATGCTTACATTTGAACCCCTTTACTTGTTATGCTTACATTTGAGCCCCTTTACTTGTTATGCTTACATTTGATCCCCTTTACTTGTTATGCTTACATTTGAGCCCCTTTACTTGTTATGCTTACATTTGAGCCCCTTTACTTGTTATGCTTACATTTGAGCCCCTTTACTTGTTATGCTTACATTTGAGCCCCTTTTCTTTTTATTCTTATATTTTTTCCCCTTTGCTTTCTTGTAGTTTAGTTCCATTTGAGTTTTTTCTTTTTTTCGAGGAAGGCTTTAACATTACCTGGCCTTTTAGAAAGATTTAGGACTAATTTTACCAACATGGCACAATCAGGTTACTAGCTTTTCAGGTGAAAACGTGGATGGCTCTGAAAAGAGCCTTTAATTAGCTGTAGGAATGTGGAAGATCCGGGGTGTTCTGGCCGAGACCTCACTTGCCCTTGGCCTTGTGGTGGCTCTCGGTCTTCTTGGGCAGCAGCACGGCCTGGATGTTGGGCAGGACGCCGCCCTGCGCGATGGTGACGCGGCCCAGCAGCTTGTTGAGCTCCTCGTCGTTGCGGATGGCCAGCTGCAGGTGGCGCGGGATGATGCGCGTCTTCTTGTTGTCGCGCGCCGCGTTGCCCGCCAGCTCCAGGATCTCGGCCGTCAGGTACTCGAGCACGGCCGCCAGGTACACGGGCGCGCCGGCCCCGACCCGCTCTGTGTAGTTGCCCTTGCGCAGCAGGCGGTGCACGCGGCCCACCGGGAACTGCAGCCCGGCCCGCGACGAGCGCGTCTTGGCCTTGGCGCGGGTTTTACCCCCTTGCTTCCCGCGCCCGGACATGTCAAGCGGACTTAATTCGCAAACTAGAGATAAGATGTTTGAGAGGACTAACTCCGCGTATCAGAAAAAAAAGCATTTTATAAGCAGCGCGGGTATGAGTCAATAAGCTATCTCATTGGTCAAAATATGTTTGCCTTTGTATCCAATAGGAAGAGAAACTGTGAATCCTTTATTTGCATAAAGCCCTCCCCTTAATGCATGTGTTCTGCTTTTATCCAATCAGAAGGGACAATTCTTGAAACTTCATTTGCATTGAAGAACTATAAAGTTAAGGGCTCCGGACCCCCTCATGACGCTGACCTTTGCTGTGGTGAGTGCGGCTAGTGTTTCTCCAGCTCTTAGAGGAAAGCCATGCCCGAGCCCGCCAAGTCCGCCCCCGCCCCGAAGAAGGGCTCCAAGAAGGCCATCACTAAGGCGCAGAAGAAGGACGGCAAGAAGCGCAAGCGCAGCCGCAAGGAGAGCTATTCCATCTACGTGTACAAGGTGCTGAAGCAGGTGCACCCCGACACGGGCATCTCGTCCAAGGCCATGGGCATCATGAACTCGTTCGTCAACGACATCTTCGAGCGCATCGCGGGCGAGGCGTCGCGCCTGGCGCATTACAACAAGCGCTCGACCATCACGTCCCGGGAGATCCAGACGGCCGTGCGCCTGCTGCTGCCCGGCGAGCTGGCCAAGCACGCCGTGTCCGAGGGCACCAAGGCCGTCACCAAGTACACCAGCTCCAAGTGAACTTGCCAAGTAAGCGTCTTGCTACCCAACCCCAAAGGCTCTTTTCAGAGCCACCCACCTTATCACAGGAGAGCTATAACTGCCATTTCCTAGTGGAGTAGTTGCAAAGCTAGGCTACCATAGCTTCAGTCCTAAGGAAACCGAAATGATCCGTAGAGGCGATTCTAGAGCCGAGCACGGATTTGGGTGGTCACAAACTAGGCTTTCATCGCAATACAGTACTGTGGTGCGATGTCCCAAAGCGCAGTTTCACCTGTAAGGTTTTTTTCAACCCACGTCCCGTTTTCTCCTGAAACCACGAATGCTTGCAAGTGTTCACTCCTTTCCCCTGCGTCTGCATGTTTCTAAAGGAGACTGGAATTTCCCTGCTAGGTAAAGTGGCTAAAGTATTTTAAAATAGGGACCCTCAGGTGATAATCCATGCTGCCCTATTGGGAGGAGGAGAGCTCCAGGCTACGGAAAGAGCAGACAGGCGCAGTCTTCCGGGAGCCTAAACTCCAGCATTGAGTAAACAAAGCGGAGCCGCCCTGGTTCCCATGAGCAACTCTAGGCGGGGGCAAGCTCTCTGCGCACAGATTACAGTTCCTCAAGTTTCGCATTGGAATTGTTTACCGATGGCAACAGCCAATCTAAAGCCGGCTCAGTTTTTCTCGCATGCCAGAAATCCGGGCTCCTATTTCCTGTGTCACGGGTTTTTCTGGAATGTCACTAGAAGGGCGGGAAGTGAGGCCCTGCGTCTCTAAGAAGGACAAAGAGTTTGAATTTCCCGCGCTTCCCCATCGCGTCACCTCGTTGGCTGCTGGGAGGGCCCCACAGAGGAAGGTGTGCTGGGTTTTCTTAGTAAACCTCTTTCAAAGACCCGGGACTCCAAAAATAATTCCCAAAAGACAGGAATGGCCTTGGTTGAGGAAGAGGGGTATTTGGGCTGGGCTGGGTCTGGGTCCGGGTTTGGGGGAGGAGGAGGAGAGTGGTGGGTAGACTGAGCTGTTGTCTGCCTATGAAAAGCGGGGAGGGGGGGGGGCGGATATTTTTCATCGGTTTATAAACGTTTTCTGGGAGTGATCTACAACAGTGTCCTCTGGATCAAGAAATAAAATTTAAAGTAGGATTTCTTAAAAAGGACCCTTTCTTTAAAAAGAAAAATTAAATTTAAATAGTCTTTTCCCAGATCCCACAGGTCAGTAGACTGCTGTATAGGTATTTCCTGTCTCAGCAGAGGCAAAATATAGCTGTGAAAGAGACCCCTGCCTTTAAAATTCATTAGTATAAAAAGATACCCCCCCCCCCCCCCCCCGCCCCACGCGATGATCGAACTCAGGCTCATGTTCTTCCCCTGACAGGTGAGATCTGGGTGGTATTATTTCTTATCCTCTTCAAAATGATCTGAGGTACAGATTATTTTCTCCCCATCTTGTCCTTCAAAACTTTTGCCTGCCTGCTTGCTTGCTTTCTTCTCTCTCCTCTCTCCCTTCTGCTCCCCTTCTTTGCTAATATTTGATACTCTACCTAAAACTTGACCCGTAACTGACAAGTTCAAACTAAACCCCAAGCCTCCTAAACTCAGACCTAGGCCTTTTTGCCATCTCTACAGAATACCTGGCTGGTCGGTAACAAATGAATGGAGAATTAAAATATATATATATATCAGATGCCTGGACTCTATGGTGGGACCCCAGATCTATACTGGGGAGTGCAGAGAAACCAGAAAACATTTGTATAAAATCTCCCCAGTTGTATCTGATAAGGTGCCAACTTTGGACACAACAGTGCTAGCAGGCAAGCCATCAAAGTGAAATTCTAGAAGGGTTTATACACTCCCTTGCTTAATAAAAACACCCACATTTTCTTCAGAGAGGCAATCTCTGAGTAACAAAGCAAACCAGAAAAATTTTACTCCCTGATTCTCCTTTCAGTCATGGAAAGTTCTTCCTACCTTCCGATCCAACAAAAACGCCCCAGAGACAGAAAGACCTGAATTTTTAGGGGAGAAAGGGGTGCTGCCCTGGGCTGACTTCTGAGCGTCAGGAAGCAGACAGAGGGTTTGGGAAGACTTTTCATTTGGAGGGAGGTCAAAAATTTGGAAAAGAGAAGAAAGGTGCCTCCCAAAATAACAGGGGGTCCAGAAAGTGTTCATGATTTGGGAAAGAGTGGAATGGCCTGGCCCCGCTACATGGCAGGTAAGAGAGCACAGACTTCTCAGTTCTGTCTTCAGAACAAGAAACAAGAACACTGATGTCTTGTTTCTTGGCTTTTCATTTCCATTAATTAATGTATACATTTAAGTGAGTTCTTTTTAATGTCCTTGAAAAACAATAATTGCCCATTCTTCTACAATTGTAATATAGAGGTGGTTTGAAGTGTTGGAGTTCATAGCTAATAATGGCCAGAAAAGAATTTTTGAGACACCTTTGGTGTAAAAAGGTGGTTTTATTAAAGCACGGGGTCAGGACCCATGGGTAGGAAGAGCTGCGCTGAGGTTGTGATGGGTGACTGATTATATACCCTCAGGTTGGGAGGGGGGTCAGGGACTGGGTAAGTCTCTAGAGATTTTTGAAAGCAAGGGTTCCAGGCCCTTGCGGGGCTGGGTGCTGTCAGCGAAAGGTCACTTATTACCATTTAGTACAACCTTAGTCATGAGACCTCTCAAATGTATACTATGGGGCGATACGCTTGGATTGCAATTGCCAGCCTGTGTCTTGAGGGTTTGGAAATAAAGGAATTTTCCAAAGGAATGTTTATGTGTTGAAGTAGACTTATAGGATCCTGCAGGGTCGAGATCATGTTGAGCTAAGATTGCCTTTTGCCCCCAACAAAGAGTCACCATCGAGGCAGCTGGGCTCCTAGGGGAGGTTGCTCTGCCGGTTCCAAGGACTAGTCGGTGAATTGGCTGCAGGCAGTAAGGGAATTTAATTTTTCGTTTGCCTTTGGTTGGCCCATCAACCACTAAAAATAATTTCAAGTAAACAAATAAAAATCAACTGTTGTTCCATTATCCAGGACATTTTTGCCATCAATCTTCTGGAAGCTTTACTTTGTGCAAGCCTATATAGACAGATATACAAATGTAATAGGAATGAGATCATAACTTCTGTTATCCTTTAAAATTAATAGAGATCTTGTTTCCGGGTAAACTGGGAAAACTCGGGCCCTGAGGCCTCGACTGAGCCCGTCCCAAAGGAGTCACCAAAGGTTATCTGTCTGGTCAAGAGAAAGAATTCACAGACAGACACAGGACACAGTGGATGAGGGATGCAAGTGGGAGAGTTTGTTGAAGTGAAAAGTACACTCTTGAGATATGAGAAGGAGAAAGCTTGAGAGAGAGAGAGAGAGAGAGAGAGAGAGGCAGAGAGAGGAGGAGGAGAGAGAGAGCGAGTGAGCGAGCGGCCTCCCCAGGGTTTGTCCTAGGTGTCAACTAGGATATTCATTACTAGGGGGTGAAAAGCAGGGTTTCATACCTCTTCTTCCTCATTTGCCCAAGGGCCCCCTGTCACCGCGCCTCTCTGTTGGGCCTGTCTGGTGTGACTGCCGTCTCCTGGAGCGGGGCCGGGACGGGCCTCTCGCTTCCCAGACAGCTGCCACTGTCGCTGCCTCCAGGTGTCTAACAACTGCCTTCCCTAACAGACCAGAGGGACGGCTCCTGGCAGGCACAACTGTGTTCTTCTCATCCGCAGGATTTATCTTTGGGGCAGAGCAAACATCTGCTTAACCAAACATCTGCTCTCATCTGCTCTCATCTTTCTGTGAACTGCCCTGGGCCCCTTTGAAGCCCCAGGCCCCTGTCCTGTTTCTAAGCTCAGGATGGTGTATGAGCCTCAATTGCCTGACCGCCTTTGGGGTGAGGTTTTGGGGTGATGCGGGTTCGGAGCCGACGGCCAAGCAAGAATTCTGGAAGACGTCTTTGGTGTGAAAAGGTGATGTTATGAAAGCACGGGGTCAGGAGCGGTAGGCACAAAGAGCTGCACTGGGTCGTGAAGAGTGACCGATTATATACCCTCAGGTTGGGAGGGGGTCAGGGACAGCGTTAAGTCTCTAAGGAATTTTGGAGGCAAAATTTCCAAGACTTAGAGGGGGTAGCTGTTGTTAGAAAAATCTCATTTATTACCGTTTAGTAAAACCTCAGTCATGAGCCCCTTCAGACGTGTAGCGGGGGCCGTGTGTTTGGAGTATGATTGCTGACATGTGCTTGGGGGTTAAAGACAAAGGAGGTTTGCAAAAGAATTTTCATGTGTTTAATGAGACATACAGGAGCCTGGGGGCGGGGAGGCGTGGGGTCAGGATAATGTTAAGCCAAGATTCCCTTTCGCTCCCAGGAAAGGGTCATCACTGAGGCAGCTGGGCTCCTAGAGGGAGGCCACTGCCGGTTTCAAGGACTTGTCAATGGGCTGTAGGCAGGAAGGGAATTTAATGTCTCATTTGCCTTAGTTTCCCCGCATCACCATGGCAAGTGCTTAAAGCCCCTTACACCTTGATGAAGGTGATATCAGGGCTCCAGGAAATGGAGTCTATAGGTTTCTGGAGATTAGGCTCTGGATACGATTGCCTTTTTCTTCCAGTTTACTCAGTTCTCCGCAAACTGAAGGAGACTCCTGTCCTGCACGGCTGTGACCTCCATCAGTCAGCCTTCTGCTTTCCCTCATTTCCCTGTTCTTGCGCAGCCAAGAGTGTCCGGGGAGTATCACACATGTCCCACCTGCCTGGGGGGGGGGGGGCACAGAGGGGTACTGTTAGCCTGTACTTTGCCCTCAGCTTGCCCCACATCCCCTCCTTATTTGAGTCTCATGTCTTTGTGGGGCTCTTATACATAAGAAACCACATTTGTTTTTCTCCTGTTAGTCTGCCCTGTGTCAATACAGTTATTAAACCACCCAAAGCGCCTAGAAAGGTAGAAGGGAACATTTTTCCATCTCTGAATATTCATTGCTAGTTTACAGATGAAACCGAGTGGTTATGCAGTTGTTGGGGTCTATGTATTTGCTAATTTTTTGTCTGGTTGTTGTACCCATTGTTCAGGGAGGGTGTTGACCTGTTTACCTTTAATCGTGGATTTGCCCATGATGGTATTAAAGGTGGTGGCTTGGGTCATTTGGGGGGCATCACTCAATATTTCCTGGATCTCTCCCATGTATCCAGGAGGTACACATGTTATTAAACCTCTGTTTGTTTTTCTCTTGTTAATCTTTAATTCCTGGGGGGGGGGGTGTCAGCCAACAAAGAGGGAAAATTATTTTTCCTCCCCCACCACAGCATACATTTGGAGCATGATTTTTTTTTTAATTTTTTTTTTTTTATGTTTTATTTATTTCTAGGAGAGAGAGAGAGACAGCGTGAGCAGGGGAGGGTCAGAGAGAGAGGGAGTCACAGACTGAAACAGGCTCCAGGCTCCGAGCTGGCAGTCAGCACAGAGCCCGACGCGGGGCTCGAACCCACGAACCGCGAGATCATGACCTAAGCGAAAGTCGGACGCTTAACCGACTAAGCCACCCAGGCGCCCCTGGAGCATGATTTTTTTTATCCACTCAGCCAACCTCTGTTTTTTAATGGATGTATTTAGGCCATACACATTATTGCAATTATTGACATTGATGGGGTTCAGGAGATACTGCCCCAAAACATGGCATCTTGACATACTGAATATCTTAAGCCAGAGGAGTTTTGGAAAACAGCAAAAGCAAGAGAGTCACTTTGACCTCCTCTTCCTCACTCCTCTTCCCTAAAGACAGGATTAGGGAAACATACTTAGTACCAGAAACAGGGAATTTAAGGCCAAGAAAGCTATATGAACAAACCTTGTTACTTCTTCACCATTTACTACCCGTTGCCCAAACCCCTTTGTCTTTTCAGTCCTTCAGAAAGATATTTCATTGTCTGAAGGTATAAAAGCTTCTTGCTCTGGTCACTTCTTTAGGTTTTCATTTTTTAAGGAAGACTCCCAAGTACGTGTAAAAATTCCAGTAAAATTTGTATGCTTTTCTCTTGCTAATTTATCTTTGGCAGTTTAATTATCAGACCCAGCCAGGAGTCCTAAAACGGTGGAGGAAAAATGTTTCTCCCCTACATGTTAGGCCTTAAGTTTGCCATTTTAGTTTTTGTTTTCTGGTGGTTTTGTTTGTTTGTTTGTTTTTCTCCTCACTGTTATTCATTTGTGTTTTCTAGTTCTGGCTTTCCTGTAGTCTACTTGAATATTTTTTTCTAATATTTTTTTATTTATTTCTGAGAGAGGGAGAGACAGAGAGAGAGAGTGAGCGTGAGCAAGGGAGGGTCAGAGAGAGAGAGGGAGAAACAGAATCTGAAACAGGCTCCAGGCTCTGAGCTGGCTGTCAGCACAGAGCCTGACGCGGGGCTCAAACCCACGAACCGTTAGATCATGACCTGAGCCGAAGTCGGACTCTTAACCTACTGAGCCACCCAGGCGCCCCTTGAATATTTCCTTTAGACAATTTGAATCTGATTCATCTCTTGTCTTTGGATAGTTTTTTAGTGGCTGCTCTAGTTATTATATACACATAATATCACAGTCCATTGGTATCTACATGTTACCAGTTCAATCTTTTAAATCTTTTTACCCTCTCTTGTTTATAATTATCTGAAATATTTCCTCTCCTTATATTGAGAACCACATCAGATAGTATTAAAAATGCATTAAAGTGTCCTGTCCAGGCAGTAGTTACTGGGGACAATGACCTTCTTCTCACATTTCTGTGCAAGCCTTTGCCCCCACCATCTCTCTCCCCAATCTGCCCTGCACGTTATTTTTCAGTCAAATGCCTAGAATTTACCCATTTCGAGAACATGCTGATCACGTTTCATCAAGCCGTTCTACTGCTACGGAGGCCAAGTGTTCGCTGACCTGCGTGACCCAGGGTGACCTAGCTGACCGGAAGCTTTCTTCTGATCCACTATCCGACGCAGGATGGATTCCCGATGCTGCGAGTGTTGCACTCCAGCTTCCACTCTGGGGTTTTGAGACAGGCCTGAATCCTGCCCGCTAGTCTACCAAGCGTTATACCTGCTCCTTCCTCCATCCAAAGTGACCTACTTTATTCAGGAAGTTAGAACAGTCCTACCTCCTACCCTCAGCTCCTGACATTCCCTCGGCTTTGGATGCATGTGGCCTTTTATGGGAGCATTTACTCTACCTTTTCGGCCAGCTTCTTCCCCGCTTCCAGGTTTGAACTCAAATCATGCCCTGGTGGCGAGGCTCTCCCCGGCCAGCCCTGCACGGCTCGTGTATGCCCTTTTCCCACGTGGTCTCCATGCTACTCATCACCAAAAACGGCACATACTCTTCTATGTATTTAGCTCATTTGTACCTCGCCACACTGGGAGGACATCACCACGAGGGCATAGTTTTCCTTCTGCTTTTTTCGCTGCCGTGTTCCATGGACCTGGAACTCTCTGGCATGTAGCCAGTATTCAATGAGTTTATGCAGAATGGATGCTGAATACTCATCTCCCTCGTGAAGTCTCTTCACTCTTCTGATTCACAGTGATTGCTCTTCTCGGCCAGGCACTCTCAAGTTCCTGACGGCTTACACCTTCATTTTTGGAGGCAGGATATCCTGTCCTAGTTCATCTTCAGACATACAGCCCCTCCCTTTCCAAAGAGTATCAAGTCTTTGAGGCAGGATTTGAGATATTTTTTATATCTTCATCTTGTGGAGACATTGAGCCAGTGGTTATTCTTTATTCCTGTTGTTGATACTGAGGATAATGAGGGAAAATGAAAAGATTGCATATTGTCAAGAGAAAAAGTCCTAGGTGTCTGAAGACTTAAGAGAAGGCAAAAAAGAAATGGAAGATGAGTATCTTGACTCTCCTGCCTGGTACCCTGGATCAAAGGATGTTTCTCTGACGGTTGGCTTATGAGTAGATTTTCCTCACATAGCCTCTTGTTCCTTTAACCATCCTGTTTGACTCAAGAAGACCTTTAGGCTTGAGCCTGCAAAAATTCCTGAAATAACTGTTCACCTCCATCTGGGCCTCATCTAGGTCTATCTCATGGACCATAAAAGGAAGAACAGCAAGATTCCTCCTGGCAATCTCTCTCGATGTTCCGTTCCTTGACGTGAGCACTAAGACCAGGCAAAGGCTCTGAGGTAATATAAACACTGTGTTTATAATACATCATTTTTTGGTGTGTATTTCGGTGTTGTGGGGCGTTTATTCCCTCATTTCCTAAGGGTCCCAAGACTGCTTGTGTTTGCGATTCAATGTTTCAGCCCTCTAAGCACAAGGGGTGCAATATGGTATGGATGTGGAGGCTGACAGAGGAATTTCCTGAACCCACTAGAATCCTTTGTGTTGTAGCCAAGTGAGAAAATAGAGAAGGTGAGAGTTGGGAATGGCAATGGAGGCAATGACTTTCCCAACCAGTAGTTTAGAGTCCTTGGTCTTGATGTGGTTCTGTAGTCGTGGGTGGTCTGGAGCTGATGGCCAAAAAAGAATTCTTGAGACGTCTTTGGTGTAAAAAGGTACGAGGACCTTTGCTGTAAAGCATGGGGACAGGATCCAGGGGCAGAAAGAGGTGCACTGGGGTTGTGATGGGTGACTGACTATACATCTTCAGGTTGGGAGGGCGTTAGGGACAGCGTAGGTCTCTGAAGAGTTTTGGAAGCAAGATTTCTAGGACCTTGAAGGGCTAGTTGTTGTTAGGAAAAGATCATTTATTACCGTTTAGTAAAACCTCAGTCATGAGACCCTTCAGGTGTTTGTCAGTGGGCCATAAGCTTGGAGTGTGATTGCCAACATACATCTTCTGATGATAGACATAAAGGAAGTTTTCAAAGGAATTCTTATATGTTAAAGTAGATTTACAGGATCCTGGGGGGTCGGGCTAATGTTAAGATAAGATTGCCTTTTAGGGGCACCTGGGTGGCTTAGTCGGTTGAGCGTCCGACTTTCGCTTGGGTCATGAACTCGCGGTTCGTGGGTTCGAGCCCCGCGTCGGGCTCTGTGCTGACAGCCAGCTCAGAGCCTGGAGCCTGTTTCAGAGTCTGTCACTCCCTCTCTCTGACCCTCCCTTGCTCACGCTGTCTCTCTCTCTCCTAGAAATAAATAAAACATTAAAAAAAAAAAAAAAAGATTGCCTTTTGGCCTTAGCAAAAGGTCCTAGAGGAATGTCACTCTGCCTTTTGCAAAGGCTGTAGTCAGTCGGGATATTTCGTTTTCAATTTGCCTGTTTTCCACATCAGTCTCATTCCCTCAGTGTAAGCCTGTGCAAGTTAAAGAACAAACAAAAAACCAAAAAAACAGACAATCTGGGTCTCTAAGTTTTGCAATCTCTAAAATGAAAACAGTACTCTCCTTGCCTTCAGGGTGATCCCATGAGGCCGCAGGTGTAAGGTAATGATTTAAACAGTCTACTGTGTCGGGTCAGAGCCGGGATGGGCCCGTTCTTGCCTTTAGTTTTCATAGTTCAGACACTTCTAAGGCTTGGGCTCTGACTAAGAATTACTTGTTGCCTTTCTTTCTGTTCTTTTGTGAGGTTTAAAGAGTTAAAGCAACTGCTGCACAGATATACTTTTTAAATGTAAACTATTTTAGAAATTGTTCTGTTGATTCCTTTCCAGAATCAGTCACAATCCTGGAAAAGGACAAATAGCCAAAAGACAGCAATGAGGACAATCATTCTTGCTTCAGAATGGATTTTAAACTAACATTATTGAGAAAATAAAATTGTTTCAATCATTAGCGCTAAAGTTTTTCAAATTACAGTGGATTATTCAAAAACCTCCCGCTAGGTGGAGGGCTTTTATGCAAATGAAGGATGCTGATTCTGATTTTTCGTTGGTTCCTTGAAAACAACCAATGGTAGACTTGTATTCAGCATACCTCCCGTTAGTATAAATACTTCTCTTGCTCGCAGTCTAGGCATATACTGCTCGGGTTTTCTTTTGAAGGCTTTTGCATCTCTCTCTTGTTAGTCATGTCGGGACGCGGGAAGCAAGGCGGCAAGGCGCGCGCCAAGGCCAAGACGCGCTCGTCGCGGGCCGGTCTGCAGTTCCCGGTGGGCCGCGTGCACCGCCTGCTGCGCAAGGGCAACTACTCTGAGCGGGTCGGGGCCGGCGCGCCCGTGTACCTGGCGGCCGTGCTCGAGTACCTGACGGCCGAGATCCTGGAGCTGGCGGGCAACGCGGCGCGCGACAACAAGAAGACGCGCATCATCCCGCGCCACCTGCAGCTGGCCATCCGCAACGACGAGGAGCTCAACAAGCTGCTGGGCCGCGTCACCATCGCGCAGGGCGGCGTCCTGCCCAACATCCAGGCCGTGCTGCTGCCCAAGAAGACCGAGAGCCACCACAAGGCCAAGGGCAAATAAGCTGTTGACTTTTCACAGGCCTCTTTTTTCCTGATCAAAAAAAAGCCTACCTAACTACTTAAAAAGGCTCTTTTAAGAGCCACCCACAGGTTCCTTTGGAAGAGCTGTCGTGCTTTTGGACTGTTAGGAGTGTTTAAAAACCTGGGGGCGGGGAGAGTGAAATGTCACAATATCCCTGGGAAAGCTTTTCCCCATAGAAATTCTTTGAACAGTTTTGGGAGAAGACCAACACGGGAATTTAGTGTAAATGTTGCAAACCCCATTAGCTGTGTTTAGCCACGTCGTGTGTGTTAATTTCTAGTCCAGTAGAAACGGGCATTGATGTATTCCACAGATGAAGTTGCAAAGTTCTTCGTAATGACAGTAGCTTGGCTTTGGAGAAAGAGGTCCTAGTGAAAGGCACTAGAATCTTCAAATTATTTTATGGAAAACAACATCCAAGCTTATGAAAACATGGCATGTGTGCCAAATCAAGGAGGATAAGGTCACAGATCCTTGATAAGTCATGCTTGTAAATAAAGAGCATTTTACTAGTTCTCCACATTATTTGTGCCACACCCAAGAAAATTCTGAATGTCATTTTAGATGCAGCCCATGTATACCTTTACCTAAACACCTGCAGAATAGCTTGATGGTTTCTCTCTTTAAAAAGTCCAGTGGAAAGTCCCTATGTTGCTTTGCGTGATTACCTTACTTTACATTTTAAAATATCTGAAGCTCTCCGTGCAAGAATTTTGTACACAGTGCATATAAGCGCGAAAGGGTAAATAAATGACGTCAGAGTAACCACACTTAAGGGCGGGGTTTAGGATTCATTCACCAACCTGAAAGCAACTCTTAATCCGGGCTCCCTGCAGGGAGTTAGACCAATCTGGGAAGGGCGCGGGAACTTTTGAATGTTCTTGGGCCCAATGATTGGCGGTCAGGCTGTATAAAGGAAGGAGGGCTGTGTCCCTCTCACCGCTTTCGGTGAAGACACTCTCTTTGCGCTCTCGAGATGGCTCGCACGAAGCAGACGGCGCGCAAGTCGACGGGCGGCAAGGCCCCGCGCAAGCAGCTGGCCACCAAGGCGGCCCGCAAGAGCGCGCCGGCCACGGGCGGCGTCAAGAAGCCGCACCGCTACCGGCCCGGCACGGTGGCCCTGCGCGAGATCCGCCGCTACCAGAAGTCCACCGAGCTGCTCATCCGCAAGCTGCCGTTCCAGCGGCTGGTGCGCGAGATCGCGCAGGACTTCAAGACCGACCTGCGCTTCCAGAGCTCGGCCGTCATGGCGCTGCAGGAGGCGTGCGAGGCCTACCTCGTGGGGCTCTTCGAGGACACCAACCTGTGCGCCATCCACGCCAAGCGCGTCACCATCATGCCCAAGGACATCCAGCTGGCGCGCCGCATCCGCGGCGAGCGGGCGTAAGTTCCCTTAACGAAGGCGCCAACCTTAAACCCAAAGGCTCTTTTCAGAGCCACCCAATTAACTCAGCAAAAGCGGCTGTGAACTTTTAGGTGCTCTTTTTGTGAACATGACCATGTTGCTGAACATTAGTTGAAATCCGTGCTTACCCTCCAGTCGTATTCCATCTGTTTTGGACACCATGTAACATATGCCTATAATGCTTCTGTTTACGCACTTTCCTAGATCAGCTTATATACGTTTACTAAAAAGGGGACGACCTTGAACCAGTGTTTAAACTGTCTAGTTGTTCCTTTTTCACTCCAACCAATTATCTTTAGAGAAAACATTTTTTACACTACATTTTTAAAGTTTATTTTAAAAATATTTTTATTTATTTCTAGGAGAGAGCGTGAGCAGGGGAGGGTCAGAGAGAGAGGGAGACACAATCCAAAACAGGCTCCAGGCTCTGAGCTGGCAGTCGGCACAGAGCCCGGCGCGGGGTTCGATCCCACGAACCGTGAGATCATGACCTAAGCGAAAGTCGGACGCTTAACCGACTGAGACCCAGGCCCCCCTACACTACATTTTTAAAACCTTTCACTTTAGAAGAATAAAGTACTGAAGAACAGGGCCGCCTCCAATTCCAAAGGCTTTGCCTTTGTTTCCCGTACATCTTAGATCTTACATCTACCTTCTTTGGCCTACATCTGAGATGTGGGTTAATGCACTGAGCTAAATCATGTAGATAACCTTCAACAAAAAACAAGATTCACCTGAATTGTGTGGTTTACTTGCATTTATTTACATTCCAGGATTTAAAAAACTTTTTAATGTTGTATTTATTTTTGAGAGACTGAGAGTGTGAGGCAGAGAGGGAACAGACAGAATCTGGAACAGACTCCAGGCTCTGAGCTGTCAGCACAGAGCCCAATGCGGGGCTCGAACCCACAAACGGTGAGATCAAGACCTGAGCTGACCTGAGCTGAAGTGGGATGCTCAACGGACTGAGCCACTCAGGTACCCCTACATTCCAGGATTTTGAGAAAACAACTTAGAGTGTACAAAACATTTGCATTTTTCTAAATAGTAAGGTTGGATATTTCTATCAGTGAGTGTGTGTGTTGTTGATTGTGTTGTATTTTTAACATTAAGTTTTCCAGGCCCTCCTACACACAACTGTCTGGCACAGAGCTTTGCTACCCATGTAAAGGGCCTGTCAGAGGCATCAATGATGTTCTTGGCTTGAGCCAGGGACTGTTTCCCTGCCCGGTCCCATATCTGGGCCCCAGCTGAAGTACAAATATCTTGGTTTTTTTTTCTTACTGTTGTGCTGGCTCTCATGTACATTCCCCCCCACTCAGTATTTTGAGGGGACGTGGCTAAGGTCATGCTGTTAGAAAAAGGGTGTTTAAGTCACAGGGCCTGAGAAGATAGCTTGGTAAGGTACAAGTGCTCATTGCTGTCTGAGGGTTAGACGGCCAGGGGACAGTGGCTCAGACTAGCTGTCCCCACTCCGTTCCCAGTCAAGGAATGTGGATTTGTCTCTAAGTCTTCATTTACTTGAGCCCCTCAACAGAAAAACTACCCAGGGTCTGGAAGATAAGGATAGCACCATCTTAGAATTCATAACCTTGTTAACCTTTGTGCCAGGAGTAGTCTGGAAACTGGCAGTTACAGGGCAGCATTTAGGTTTTTATATGGCCTATATTCAAATTCCAATTTTACCACTTACCGTGTCCTCTGACGCAAATTGATTTCTCCATCATCAGAAAATTAGGGAATGACACTACCCCTCTTAGACTGTTCCTGGGATAACACAAGTCGATTCTGGGACACATGGCATTGTAGAAATGCTATTAATTTTCCTGAGCTGTGCATGATTTTCCCTTATACTCTAACATTTTTTTAAACTGAAATAAAATCTCAAATTTTACCCTCTAAATGTTCTTTTCGTTTGGCATCACTTTATTGAAGTAGATTTGGCTCAGTCTGGAAATCAAACTTCAGCGGGTATTTTAAAATCAAAGAATGGAAGAAATTCCATCATAAATATTGCAAATATTTTGTAAACTCAAAGTTGTTTTCTCAAAATCCTAGAATGTAAAATAGGTGCAAGTAAACCACAAAATTCAAGGTGAATCTTGTTTTTTGTTGAGAGTTGTCCACATGATTTAGCTCAGTGCATCAGCCCACATCTCAGATGTAAGCCAAGGATGGTAGGTGTAAGAGCTAAGGTGTGGGGAAAAAGAAGAAAATTTTAATATCACTGCAGGAAGCATTTCTTACTTTCCATTAGAGGCGTGGCTAAGGTCATGCTGGAGGGGGAAAATGGGTATTTAACACACAGACTGTACTTTTTAAATGGCTGTTGCAAGGTTCTCCGTGAAACAAAGTTATTCTTTCGCAGACAAGGTGATACTACACCACAGGCTGAAATTTACAGCTACTACTGTTGGCTCTAGAACTGCTTCTGGTTTGTTACAGACTTTCAGACTAGAAGAGGCAGCCAAGGTCAACGTGTATTTTTCAGACCAAAATATTTCGTAGTAGCTCTTCCAGTCATCCCAGTAGAAGTGACTCAGTAATCAATGAGTGTCTGAGATTTAACACAACACTGGGAAGTCCATGTAGAAATTTGAACTGCACTCCACACTCGGCTGCCAAGAGCCAGGAGGCTGACTTGTCAACGCACCTTTGGAAAGAAGACCTGGGGATAGTTTTAGACAACCATATTTAACACACTGTGTATGAAAAACAAAACAGTCTGTCAATCACTAGATGAATAGATAAAGATGATATCTTACACAGAGCTTGACAATACTGGTTTGAAATGCATGTGTCCACTCATTTGCAGATTTTTTCAATAAATACAACAAGAGTCCTGTAAATGTTTTTCTCTTCCTTATGTTTTCTTAATAACATTTTCTTTTTCTGGTTTACTTTATAATAAGAATACAATATATAATACAAATACAACATATGTATTAATAGACTTTATGTTATCAGTAAGGCTTCTGATCAACAGTATGGTATTGGTAGTTTTGTGGGGGGGCGGGGGGGTAGTGGTCAAAAGTTATATCCGGATTTTCAACTGTGCAAGAATCAGTCCCCCTAAACGCCTGCGTTGTTCAGTGTTCAACTGTAAATAGCATGGGATATTAGTAATAAAAAGAATGAAATCTTGCTATTCACAACGTGGATGGACTTAGAGGGTATTAGGCTAAATGAAATAAGTCAGACAGAGAAAAGACAAATACTGTATGATTTCATTTACATGTGGAGTCTAAGCAACAACGAAAACAACAACAGCTGCCACCAGAGATAAGTACAGAGAACAAATTGGTAGCTGGGGGCGAGGGGTAAGAGGCAAAGAAGGTAAAGGTGATGAAGAAGTAAAAACATCCAGTTATATAATAAATAAGTCACAAGGATGAAAAGTGCAGCATAGGGCGTATGATCATATTGTAATAACTTTGTATGGTGACAGACGGTAGCTACACTTATGAGCATTTCATAATGTATCTAATTGTCAATTCACTATGATGTACACTAATATACTGTTGTCTGTTGCTATACTTCGATTGAAAAGAAAACAAAACCAAAATATCCAGAATCCATCAATGTCTTGTACTTTATTAAATGATGATATGATAAAAAAAAAAAACCTTCACTATTATATATGTATCTGTGTTGCCTATACTCTGTGCAGGGTAAAGGCCTGAAAATGAAGGCTCGGGGCAATCTCCTAACTCCAGACAGATTCTTTAAGCAACAATACCAACTAAAACTCAGGCACATTTATGTAGGACGTCTTTGTGTCCATCTCTGTTGTAGCTTTTCGCTTCCATTAGGTAATTTCAATCTTTACAAAAGTTCACTGAGTATGATCATCACTCCACCTTAATAAATAAAGAAAACGAAGGGCAACTTTCCAAGGTCACACAACTGTAATAGAGGAAAAATAACTTTCCCCTACCCTGAGATTTTGGCTGAGACCCGTGTCATAACAGGCACATTAACGAGAGGAAAACAAAGGTTTAATGACATATATACCTCATATATACATGGGAGAAACTCTGAAATACCTAGTAAAACTCCCTGAAAAGGCCCAAGACACCACCTTACATACCATGTTCCAGTAAAGACAGATGTCCCTGTGGGAGGGGCGAGCCCAGGGAGCCAGTCAGGGGCTCCCAGGAAAAGGACTGGAAACAAGGCAAGGGTGTTATGCAGAATAAAGTCTCGGCTTTCTCCACTGACAAGATTCTGTGCTCATGTAGTCGTCCTTTTTCTGGCACAGAGAGGGAGACACAGATTGAGATCTCCTTTATCAATGTCAAACGCCCCTTAAGAGTGACTTCTACTCTGCTTTTAGAGATTCTCCGGTATTTTTAAAAACTAAACTGCTCAAAAATAGCCCTTATGTCAAAGAGGCCTATTTGGGGGCGGCATATTCTGTACCCTTCATAGGAACGTGGCATATTTGGGGAAGATGTGTCTTGAACTCGTACACTCCTGTTTTGGGGTGACATCTTAGGGTTCCCTTCCCAGCTATCAATCACCCGCCTTCTGAAGGAGAGAGCGCAGTACTTGGTTACAAAAAATAAGCCCCTGTGAACACTCTCACGAGCAGATAGAATTTCAGATACAAACACCAACAGGCTCAGGAAAGGCTCCTTCCCCCACACGTCATTGGCTCTCAGTGCAGAGCGGGGCGGAGTCCGGGGTGCGGCCGCGGGGCTCGGTTCCCGCCCGCGCCTTCGGTTCTCAACCAGGTCCGACGGCTGCTTATAATTACTGCGATCGCGACAACAGGGCCATCGCTGCGACCTGCTCCCGTAGCGCACCGAGGCAGCCATGTCCGGCCGCGGCAAGGGCGGGAAGGGCCTGGGCAAGGGCGGCGCCAAGCGCCACCGCAAGGTGCTGCGCGACAACATCCAGGGCATCACGAAGCCCGCCATCCGGCGGCTGGCCCGGCGCGGCGGCGTCAAGCGCATCTCCGGCCTCATCTACGAGGAGACGCGCGGGGTGCTCAAGGTGTTCCTGGAGAACGTGATCCGGGACGCCGTCACCTACACGGAGCACGCCAAGCGCAAGACGGTCACGGCCATGGACGTGGTCTACGCGCTCAAGCGCCAGGGCCGCACCCTCTACGGCTTCGGGGGCTGAGCGCCCGCCACCCGCCACGTCTGCAGACACAAAGGCCCTTTTCAGGGCCGCCCACTTTCTCTGAAGAGAGTTGTACGCGTCTTAACTCTTTCTCCGGTGGTGCAGCCGCTAGGAAGGCTCGCTCGGCGGTCTTCGGAGGCTCCGGTGTCCGTGCTACGTGCGGACGCGCTGAGCGCCACCCACCTCGCCTTCCGGGTATCTTCCCGGACCAATCCGCTCGCAGCGCTGTGCGGCGGGCCAATCCCGAGCAGCGGCTGGCCCAGGGGACCAATGGGGAGGCGTTGGTCGGTCCCCACGCCCACCGCTCTTTACGCGGGGTTGCAGTCCGCCTCTCCCGCGTCCCTTCCTCCCCGAGACCCCGAGCTTCAGGCCCCGCCGGATGCCCTGATCCCCCGAGGCTGCGCTGGCTATTTGCCCAAGTACCCGGACGGTGCTCCCGCCCCTGCGGCAGCCAGGGAAACCAGAGTGCGTGGCCCGAGAGGATGTTCGTTCCCGTGGGATGGCCCCCAGCGGTGTGCAGACAGGGAGCCACGTTCTGGCTCCCCTCGCCCCCGCGGGCGTCCGCCGCCTCGGCCTCCGGAGTGCGAGCCGGTGAGGCCGAGGTCGGCCCCCGCCCCGCCCCCGCACGCGGTGTGCTGCAGCTTAAAGGTGCCTTTGCTGATTTCCATCCTCAGGCCGCGGGGCCTCCTTAAGCCTCCGGCTAAGCACAGTTTGGAAATTCCCATTTACTAGATTAAAGGGAGGCTGTTACAATTCAGGTCTCTGAGTACAGGGAACCCCGAGGCCTTCGGCAGGGCTCAAATCGGAGGGGCTGGGGGAGAAGCTCCCGCCTCTGAGGTCACTGGCTCTCTGGTGACTGCCTTGGACTTTACCTTCTTCATCTCTGCCCGGCTCATCTCCCTCCCGCCTCTTGTATGAATTGTAAGGTTATTTTTCTTTTTTTGTTTTAATGAACGTTTCAAACATGGTTACAAAAAATCTTTTGACTGTCCTCCAATTGATAAAGCAGGCAACGGAATACTCCGCATTGATTTAATGCTTGAGACATATATTGACATTTGCTTAAAACACCTCTGCTGCTTGGCTACTCTACTAACCTGTCTCTCTGACACTTCAAGAAGAGTCTTGAATAGTCAATTGGAAAAGAGATTCTTGAGTTCAAGTGAGCGGTCTGGTTGAGAGGAAAATTTGGGAAGCGCCAGTCTATAAATGCTAAGACTGAATGAGATCAAGACTTTAAACAGCATTTATGACTGTACATTTTAATGGTAAATGGAAATGTAAATTGTCCTCAGAAGCGACTGGATATCCTTGAAGTGGTGGTCCGAGTTCAGGATGCTAGAACAAAAATATCATAGATTGTGTGGCTAACAACATTGATTTCTCACAGTTCTGGAGGCTGGGAGTCCAAGATCAAGGTCCTGGAAAATTCAGACAGGGCAGATTCAGACAAGATTTGGTGTCTGGTGAGAACCCATTTCCTGGTTCATAGACTTGTCTTGCTGTGTCTTCACATGGCAGAAGGAAGGACCAGAGAGCTTTCCGGAATCTCTTATGTATAAAGGGCACTAATTCCATTCAGGCCTGCTCCATCCTCATGGCCTAACTGCTACCCAGATGCCGGATCCCTTAATACTGTCACTTTGGGACTTAAAATTTCAGCACAAGAATTTGTGGGGGATACATACGCACAGTCCATACTAAATGGGATGCTATAGAGCCCTACTAAAGAATAAAGCAACTCTGGAGCACATTTGGCTCATTTCTTGGCCCCTTCTCTGTTCTTTGTGTCACTATTGGTATGTTCTGTGTTCTGTGAAACAGTTTATGCTCAACAGGAGAACACCATGGCCTAGCTCTGAGTGTCAGGTGAGCTTCTGGTGTCACTAAAGGCTGTGATAGTGTCAGCTTCTGGTGACACTAAAGGCTGTGATAGTGTCAGCTTCTGTCTGTTTCTCAGTCCCAATGGTTGGTTTTCGGAGGGCGGCCTTGATCACCTCTAAAATTTTATCAGTTTCCTTCTACCCACTTCTAGCTTCATAATGAAGCTTGGCATAGATCCACCTGCATATTTGATATGTCTACTTGAATATCTAATGGACACCTCAGACTTGTCCAAATTAGGTATCTTAACACATAACTCCTAAATCTGTTCTTCCGCATTCTTCCAGGGGCTCAGCTCAGAAAACTTGCAGTCCTGTTTGAGCTCTTTCTCAAAACTTTCATCCAACCCAGTCAGCTGTATCTTCCAAATCAATCAGAGCACCTTTCCTGACATCCTCTGCTGCTACTGCTGGACAAGTCACAATCACCTTTTGTCTAGGCGACCATAACTAGTCTTTCTGTGTTTTTTTCCCCAACCCCACAGCTAGAATGACCCTTTCAAAAGATGTATGTCCACCCACCCTCTGCCCAGAACATTCCAGCGGTGTTCCATCTTCATAATAAAAGCCAGTGTCTTTGTCACAGCCTACAAGGATAGTAGCCAATAAGCCCAGTTTGCCTAAGTTTGAGGGATTTCTGGGGTGTGGGACTTTCAGCGCTCAAACTTGGAGAAAGTCCCAGGCAAAGAGGATGAGTTTGTCACCCTACCTAAGATGGCTTTACGTGATCTGGTCCTTGGCCGACCTCCTTTGCTGTCACATTTCTATGTGCTCACTGAGCTTTTCGCTGCTTGTGGAGTGGGGCAAGCATGGTCCAGTGTCACAGCCTTGATCCCGAGTTTTCTTTCTTCTTAGAAGTATCCTGTCCTGGTGTAGGGGAGATAACATTTTACCTGTACCTTCTTAGGGTTCTTAGGGGGCCTAAGAATTAAACTGACATTGAACAAGTTAATAGGAAAAGAGCATGCGCTTCATTTATATTTACATAAATATATTTTTATATATAGTCATTGGGGTACATTGATGTATTTTCTGGGACAAAGGTGCCCTCGTAGGGAAATGAAGACCCAAAGAAGCAGTTAGACTTGAACATTTATGCACTGAGTTGGACAAAAATAATAAACTGTGAAAACAGGACAAGGCAAGGGGGCTTGGGGTAGGGTAGTTAATTGTGGAAAGTAACTAGAAAGACAAGGGTTAGTTTACAAGATTTGCTTGTACAGATTTCTCACAGCCTTGATTCCTCATTCAAGGTGATAAAAATAAGAGTTTCCTCCTGGTAGAGGGATGACCTCTCCATACGGGGATTCTCTCTACTGCTTTCAAGAGGAAAAAGGAGAGCTCTGAGTGCCTGCTCGCATCTGTTTGTTTTTCCAGTGCCCTTAATCTTGATGTCAGAGGCAGATTTTGTGTGGCGTATGCTGCTCCCTGTCACTGGACATCTGCATGGCTGCACACTTCATTCAGGCCTCTGCTCAGAAACCCTTTTATGAAAAGAGAGCTTTCCTGACCGCCCTATGTAAAATAATACCCGCTTCTGCTCGTTCTTTAAAACAGCATATGTATCCCCACCAGTGTCGATATATATTTATTCTGTTTGTGGTTCTGTGTCCCCGACTAGAATGCAGTTCTGGGAAAGTGGGGGTTTGGTTTTGTCCCTGAGACCCCCCTAGCTCCTCAACAGGGCTGATAGCTGATACGTAGGAAGGTTTGTCGTGTAGGGAGAGGAAAGTCATTTTTCCTTCTACTCTTCTAAATTCTTGACTGGGACCTCCCTGCAACAAAAAAGACACATTAACAAGAGAAAAACAAATGTAATTATGTACAGACGTACAGGAGCCTCCACAAAGATACGAGATTCAAGGAAGTGATGAGAGCAGGAAGCTTTTATATCTTTTTAGACAATACATTTTTTTAAAATATTTTATTTATTTATTTCTAGGAGAGAGAGAGAGAGAGAGAGAGAGACACAGCGTGAGCAGGGGAGGGTCAGAGAGAGAGGGAGACACAGACTCTGAAATAGGCTCCAGGCTCTGAGCTGGCTGTCAGCACAGAGCCCGACGCTGGGCTCGAACCCACGAACTGCGAGATCATGACCTAAGTGAAAGTCGGACGCTAACCGACTAAGCCACCCAGGCGCCCCTATTGTCATAGCTTCTACACCTCCTCTCATATATAGAAAATCTGAATCCACACACCTCTCTACATATACTCTAGGTCCAGGACAGGGGATTCTGTCTGATTTGCTCCCGATGTACCCCACTGCCTTCAGCAGTTCTCTGGCATGTCACGTAAGGTCCATAAGTATCTCTTGAAGGAACACCAGCTAAGGACATAAAGTGACCACCCAGGCCCATTTTGATCCTCTGGCTGTCCAGAAAGCAGCTCTGAATTCTCCCCACTGTCAATTTAAATTAAGCCAGACTAGGTACTTTTATCATTTCCCAAGAAATATTGAAGGACAATTATCAGGTGGGAAAGGGGACCCGAAAAGCTAGGAGAGACACTGGCTAAAGCTAACGTAGGGAGGCTGCAGTCAGCGCCCCCTCTGCCCTCCCCCTCTAGATCTTGAGATACAGTTTATATATCATAACCGCCTCCCCCTTGAAGTGTACAATCCAATGTATTTTAGTATATGTACTTAATTGTACGGCCATGCCCACTATCTAATGTACACATTTCCATCACCCTCATTTCCATTTCTCTCTGAAGGAAGGAAAAAAAGCATGGCTAACTGCGGAGGGCTGTACTGACAGTGAATGAGGCACTTTCCCCTATAAACCAGATTTTCATTTCCCCTGAATCCAGTTCTCTGAGTTTTCTGGGACTCTGAATCTAGTTTCCTCCCCTGCCCACCATTTCCAGACTTTTTAAAAAAGACAAATCATTTTATTAGCGGTGAGAACTTCAGTACTGTTCTTGGGACCTGAGAGGGCCATTTAGATGTCTGAGGTCTATCTCATAATCTGCAAAGACATTTTTAAAATTCCTAAAGCAGGGTTTTTGGCTTTTCTGGCCAGCTTTCCCATCCCCCATTCCGACTCGCCTCTGGGAGGGAGGTGGGGGACATGAGATCATCAGTTCTGATTGGTTGACAACATGGATGGGACTTGCCGATTGGACAATGGTCCTCTTTGTTCCTGGACACCCTTGCCAAGTGCGGTAACCTGCTTGGTTTCCCCCCACTTTTGACTTGGAATATCCCTCCTCCCCTGCTCGTATGCGGTAAATGGGGACGGAGGAGCGGGGGAAATGACATGGAGCTTAGGGAGCTGCCTTCGCATAGAAGACGATCGGACCGAATTCCTTTCAAAATGCCACTGCTTTCCGGGATTTGGTCTCAGTACTGTTCACTTAGCTACGGTAGAGAGCTGCAGGCTCAAGTGCCCATACTGTTTAGGACAGCTCTTTTTCTGAGCAGTTGGGTGGCCCTGAAAAGGGCCTTTGATTAAGAAATGAAACGATCTGATAGTGAAACCAGGGAGCTCAGCCCCCGAAGCCGTAGAGGGTGCGGCCCTGGCGCTTGAGCGCGTAGACCACGTCCATGGCCGTGACCGTCTTGCGCTTGGCGTGCTCCGTGTAGGTGACGGCGTCCCGGATCACGTTCTCCAGGAACACCTTGAGCACCCCGCGCGTCTCCTCGTAGATGAGGCCGGAGATGCGCTTGACGCCGCCGCGCCGGGCCAGCCGCCGGATGGCGGGCTTCGTGATGCCCTGGATGTTGTCGCGCAGCACCTTGCGGTGGCGCTTGGCGCCGCCCTTGCCCAGGCCCTTCCCGCCCTTGCCGCGGCCGGACATGGCTCCCTGGAAAGCAAACCAACAGCAAGTGACAAAGAAAGCGAGAGCCGATCCTTATATAACTGCGTCCCCCGCCCCCTTGCAGATGCAGAGAATGGAAACGGAGCAGGCGGGAAATGTGACGCAACAGTCCCCTCCCTTAACCCCTCCTCCAAGCCCCAGCAACTAGGGGCAGGAGCGGGGCGGGTCGAGAACCTCGCTCGACCAGGGTTTCTTTACTTCCTTAACTGGGCTGCATTGTTCTAAGGAACTGAGTTTATAATAAATTCACGTTCTCATTCCGAAAATGCTCTAAGTTGGAGAGAATACTTATAAGGCTAAAAGTCTTTAACAGTAAATTTCAGTAATGGCAAAAATACCAAGATCAAAGAAATGCCAGTCAGGCAGTTTATAGTCAATGGCAAACAAAACCAGGTTTTAAAATTACGTGTTAGGTTTCGCAAAGCAATATTGTTCCTGTTTTACAAATGATGCTCAATAGGTCCCGTTTAATCGTCCTCAAAGACCAACCCTTCAGCGTCCCTCTTGAAACGCCCAGAAGCCAGTTTTGTTCGCAAATACAGGGAATATGTCGATAATGTTAAGCATTTGTAACCCGTCAGATTATTGTTGACCCCTAGGTTTTCAATTCTAAGTGCGTGGCTAGTTCCATTAAACCGGAGCTAGGGACTTTTACAGCCGCTTTCCTTGAAAACGTGGGTGGCTCTGAAAAGAGCCTTTGGGGAAGGGTGCACGAAGAACGAAGCTTTACGCCCGCTCCCCGCGGATGCGGCGCGCCAGCTGGATGTCCTTGGGCATGATGGTGACGCGCTTGGCGTGGATGGCGCACAGGTTGGTGTCCTCGAAGAGCCCCACGAGGTAGGCCTCGCACGCCTCCTGCAGCGCCATGACGGCCGAGCTCTGGAAGCGCAGGTCGGTCTTGAAGTCCTGCGCGATCTCGCGCACCAGCCGCTGGAACGGCAGCTTGCGGATGAGCAGCTCGGTGGACTTCTGGTAGCGGCGGATCTCGCGCAGGGCCACCGTGCCGGGCCGGTAGCGGTGCGGCTTCTTGACGCCGCCCGTGGCCGGCGCGCTCTTGCGGGCCGCCTTGGTGGCCAGCTGCTTGCGCGGGGCCTTGCCGCCCGTCGACTTGCGCGCCGTCTGCTTCGTGCGAGCCATCACAAGGACCTACAAGGACATACGACACAAAGGCACAAATATGTCCAGCAGAGTGTTTGCCAGTATTTATAGTACGTCGGGTGTAGTGATTGGATGAAAAAAAAAAAAAAGCTTGACTAGAAAGCTTCGGGCTCTGATTGGTCTATCTCTGAATTTTCCAACAACGGTACAGAGTCATTGGCTATCACGTTATCCTCGGCTCTTTCCAAGGTTTTGTTTCTCCCACATCCGACTTTGCAATGCTCTGAACGTGAACTTGTCAAGAAACTGGACATCGATTTCATTGGTTATTGTAGTTCAAAGTTCTATAGTTGTTTAGTTCTTGGGGAGGAAAACTTGAGAAATATTGCCCGCAATAATGTACTCTTTATAGTCCTTGCTCAATAACCCGATATCAGATTGCATATTTCTGAAATCTTAAATCTCTTTTTAAAAAATGAGATTCTTTCATAATGCTTAAATTGAGGAAGACTTTTGAATCCTACAAGACAATCTCAACCATGATAAAATGACGCTAGCGTTTACAGAAATCTTTCCTGTTATCAGGCGCTTATTTGTTAAATGTTAAAGCTGACTTCTAAACGCAGCTTTCTCACACTCATGTGTCTTATGTACCTTATATTTCCTAAAGCCTAGAGCGCATTTTACCAGGTGTAAAATAGCAGTGACTAAACTCTCCAGCAGGAACCTCTGAGCCTTGAGGAGCAGACGTGTCCTCTGTCCAATCGACGGGAAATCCGAGCCACAGGACAAATTTACCGCTCCTAAGGCCTAACCTTATAGCTTTAAAAATTTTCCATGATTTTAGCATCAAATGTGACAGATTTGTACTGAGTCTGCATGCCAGATTCTACCTTTTGATTGGTTGTCTTTTATACTGATCAGCCAGTAAGAAAATAAATATAGCATCCTTCATTTGGGAGGAATATTCGTATTTTATTTGAAACCTGTGTACTCCAGTGGATCCACAGGAGTCGGGAACCTTTGCTTAAATTCCCGAATCCAGCATTTCCTTTCAAAAGCCTGTGTTTAATTAGATTCCACGCTTCTTATACTAAGAAAAGTCTGATTTTCAAGAGCCGTTTCACTTCTGAAACTTTCGGTATTTGGAGGAAGGTTGTGTACCTGTTATTAGAATCGGCTATGCTTCGAACGCTTAGCTTCGATCGTTCTCTTCCCAATTGTTAGGAATTACGTGTTGCGTTTTGAAAACAATAGACTCTGGAAAATAGAGAGAGGTGGAGAACGGTAGGAGAGCCGGACGCGGGAACATCCCATTACTGGCGGCAAGCTGGGAACCGGGCCCATGGTGGTTGGCGGGAAGCAGGGAGGCTCCGGGTACCCAGGCCGGCGCGGACTTGTTTGACAACCTCGGCCGCGCTGCGCGGGCATGAGAGGCCACCGCCTCCTCCCGGAGGCCAGGCGATTGCCCAGACCTCTCGTGAGAGGCATTTTGTTCTTTCGTCAGTTTGTTCGCGATGTGAAATCCCTTTAGCCGTATTGATGCTTTTCAATGCTCCTTACAGCCACAGAGAAGCGAAAGGAGGGTCGCCCTAAGGACTTGTACCCTCTCGCTTTCACACAAGGCACCCCAGGCCCCTTACAGTTCGCCTAGCGCTTATTTGATGCCCCCTCCCTGCCTAGTTTTGAGCTTCAGAAGCCTTTGGTGGATGCGACATGCTGACAGGTGTAAACTCGAGCAGCCGCTGGTGGGGTTCCGTGGGAAGGATGAAAAGGCATCGAGATTCGTGCAGCGCATTGGACTGTAAGAAGTGCAATTACAGACACTTTAATTCAACTTAATTGAATTGTATATTGATTTTCGCACGTGCAGCTTGCGTGTTAGCTGCGGCTTGAGTGCTCGTGTGTCCCACGACACTCCTCTGCCCAAAATTCACCAAAAGGATTGGAGCGCGCATCTCTCGCTTCGGCGCTGCGGGCAAGGCCACGGCAGTGATGAGAGCTGGTCCTGAACCTGCAGACGAGCCTGCACTCCGCACCCCTCCGCAAGCACACCCGCTTTCCTCCCTACCTCCCGCCACTCCAGACGCAGCCTTTCACGTTTACTGATTGGAAACAAGCCGCCCAGACAACACCTCCTGCTGAAGCTTCAGGTGAAACTCCATGGATTCCTATTTGATGGCCGCGTTTACAAACGTCTCCCTCTGCCCGCCGAAACTAGAAGGCCTGCTTTACGAAGGGGAGGGGCTCGCGCTGAGGTCAAGGGGCCGCCCCGCCCGGAGTTTCCGTGCGCCCGAGGCGGCCCGGGCGGCGGCCGGAGCCCGCGCGCGCGCGGCCGGGAAGCGGGACCCCGCGGAGTCGCGGCGCTCGGGGGCGAGAGGCGGCGCGGCGAGCACCAATCACAGCGCGGCCCCGCCCTATAAATACGCGGCGCCGGGGCCTGCGGCGTCTTGCTGTCCCATCGGGTCCCAGCGGTAGTCTCGGCCCTCCTCCCTCCAGCCATGTCCGAGACCGCGCCGCCTGCGCCGGCCGCCTCCACGGCCCCCGAGAAGCCCGTGCCGGGCAAGAAGGCCAAGCGGCCCGCCAAGGTCACGGCCGCCGCCAAGAAGAAGCCCGCGGGCCCGTCTGTGTCCGAGCTGATCGTGCAGGCCGTCTCCTCCTCCAAGGAGCGCAGCGGCGTGTCCCTGGCCGCGCTCAAGAAGGCGCTGGCGGCCGCCGGCTACGACGTGGAGAAGAACAACAGCCGCATCAAGCTGGGCCTCAAGAGCCTGGTGAGCAAGGGCACCCTGGTGCAGACCAAGGGCACCGGCGCCTCGGGCTCCTTCAAGCTCAACAAGAAGGCGGCCTCCGGGGAGGCCAAGCCCAACCCCACGAAGGTGGTGAAAGCCAAGGTGACGGGCGTGTCTAAGAAGCCCAAAAAGGTCACAGCGGCTGTTAAGAAAGCCGTCAAGACCCCGAAAAAGGCCAAGAAGCCTGCTGTAACCAAGAAGCCCTCCAAGAGCCCCAAGAAGCCCAAGGTCGTGAAGCCGAAAGTCAAGAGCCCCGCCAAAGCCAAGGCTGTGAAGCCCACAGCGGCCAAGGCGAAGGTCACCAAGCCAAAGACCGCCGCCAAGCCCAAAAAGGCAGCGCCCAAGAAGAAGTAAAAAGTTCCAGTTGGAAGCTTCCAATAACCCAACGGCTCTTTTAAGAGCCACCAACCTGTTCAGGGAAAGAGCATTAGTACGTTCTCGCGTGTTCTCGGGCTCCTACCCCGAAGTTTCTACCCTCTCTCTCGCCAGGGTCTCCGCCCACTTCAGCCCCGCACTTAATCGGTTAGAGGGTTAAGATCCCGCTGCCAGGAACCAGGCCTTGGTACTTGAGAATAGTCCCTGGGGCCTCTGGCGGAGCGGTTCCGGAGTCCCTTACCCAGTACATCTTGTTACCCGAGGTTCTCCACGGCTGTGCTGCGAGTACCCAGGGAATTTCATGTCCTTGCCCTTGAGTCCCACACCCCAAACTAATCGTCATCCATGGGAACTACCTGGAGGTGTCCCCCAGAACTAGACTTCCCTGGTTGAGTGCAAAACCGGGACGTGGCGTTCTCGGGGCAGTAGTGCCAAAGCGGCCTTTTCCGAAACCGGGTCCCGGGAGCAGGGCTTTTCGAGGGAATAGGTGAACCCTACGGCTTGGCCACGCCCTCCACACACGCGGCGCGCCCGCTGGATGGCCTGGGGACGGACCTGAGACTGCCTGGCGTGGAGGGCGCACAGGCGGGTGTCCTCGGAGAGCCCCCCCACGTAGGCCCCGCATGCCGCCCGGGGCGCCTGGACGCCCGAGCTCTGCAAGCGCCGGGCGGTACTGCGCGCGCCTAGCGTGGGCCGAGCTGCGGGCGAGTTTCTGGCCGTGGTCACGACCAAGGGGCTTGGCTGCAGTGGAGTTTTAGCGCCAAAGCCCAAAAGCCCTCACCGGGTTGCCTAGACTAGGAAACAAAGCTGCCCTGCTGGATACTGGAAAATGCACTCCAGCCGGACTACCTTGGGCTTCACTGCGGGCAGGGTTTCAGTTTGGGCGGTGCTGTACGCCGTAGGAGGTGAACACTTCCCAGAATTGCGCCTCTGTAAAGGTTTTCTAAACTCTGGGATTCACACTTTAACCCTGTCTTTCACATCCGAGCAGAAAACTGAACCAGGGTTACTACTTAACACCTCAACCGGTTGTAAAGACATTTTTACACGGGCCCTATGATTTCTATTTTACAAATACTCTTTTTCCACGGACGGGCTGAGCTCCCCCTATCCCACAGGCGGCCAAACAGGCGCTTCACATCCGTGTTCCTCTCAAACTGGTTGGTGCTTGCTCTCCAGATACCTGCTCTCCAGATGCAGGATTGTTCATTTCGGTCTTCAGTTAGGGTTATTTACAAATACATGCACTGCGTCTTTTAAAACAAAAACCTTTCGAAAATCCCTTCTAGTCAGATCTTTTTTATTTCAGGTCCTTCACGTGTAGTAACATAAGCGATTCACCCGTTTCCTATGGATAAGCTTTGACATTGTTTCCATTTACCATTACTGACTGTGGTGCCAACGGAGTTCCCACACCAAAATCGCTAGATTACAGTGTGTTTTATGTTTGGGTGGGTGCTGACCTGTCCTGAAAATAACTCCCCTTCATCCATTCCAGCCATCAAGGTGTGGTGCAGCTTCTGCAAGTCTGAAGGGTATAACATTGTCTCACATTGTCCCTTTGATTTGCATTACCATGGTCACTAGCGCATCCTTCCTTTAGGTTGTCATTTGAATATGCTTTTCAGAGAATGCCTATTTATCCCTTTGCTCATTTTTCTTATTGGGCAGTTTGTCTCTCTTGTCCCCTTCTGTTTTTTTACATAGTAGAGATAGGAACCTTCTTATCACCTGTGTTGCAGATAGTTTTCTAATTCTGACATTTCCCCCCAAATTTTGTTTTCCATTTATATGTATTCTATACAATTATATATCCAGAATATTAAATGTCAAATGTTTTAGTTAGAAACATATCTTTCTTTTATAGCTTCTAGATTTCCATTTTGGTTAAGAGGCTGAACCCCAACCCCTCCATTATTCATTCAGCATCCTGGGTCTTCTTCTAATCCATCTAGACTTTTATGTTGTTTAAGACAGAATTGAGTTTACATTCTCCCAGATAGATGACCAGTTCTAACACCATTTATTGAATATTCCATCTATTTCTCCTACAAACCTGAAATATGTCCTTGGTTAGTTATTAAACTGTTAATAATAGGATCTATTTATGTATTCTAATTTTTTATTTCTCTCTCCATATTAGTCGTGTACCTGTATTCCTAATTTGTGTGCTTGTTTCCATTGTGAATGGAAGGCAGTTTAAGTCTTATTCTAGGAAGTAAGAAATGTTTTCCACCAGGGGGAAGCCTCGGGCTCCCGGCGGGCCGAGGCGCAGGCCTTCGGAACCCTCCTGTGTCTTCCTAAGGGCTTAGAAAAACCGGAGGGAGACCTACTTAAAAATGAAGAACTACATTTACATTTCTACATTAAATTCTAATTTTTATAATTTTTTAGTAAATCTGTGAGTATATTTTCCATCATTTGTCATAGTATGTACTCAGCGTTTTTTCGCTTGTCTCACTTAAACATTTTTCTTTTTATTTGAGAGAGAGAGAGAGAGAGAGAGAATCCCAACGAGGCTCTAGGCTCAGTGAGGAGCTCAAAGTGGGGCTCAGTCCCATGACCCTGGGATCATGACCTGAGCCAAAATCAAGAGTTGGACATTCTTGGACTTGAGCCACCCAGGAGCCCCAAACATTCTTATTAGATTACTGTATCTTTATAATAACCACTGATTCTTCTGCACAATTCCTCAAATCTGTTGGTCGGATTACACTTACGGAGTCACTCGTCTGTTCAGACGGAAGGAAATACTGAACATTTTGGCAGTCCTAATCCTAAAATATGTATGTATTTGATGTATGTGAATATGTAAAAATATAATTTTACAATTAACATATTCCTGAACCTGGCTCTGTTAGAATTGGTTTCTTAAAACACGTATGGTTTATGGACATTTGTAAAGTTTTCATTGTATTACTGTGTTGATTCTATCAGAATTTTTTATTTATGAAGCCATTAGCTATGTATGACTTAGATTAGCATATAACTTTAAAATGGCTAATTAGTAGAAATAAAATGATCCCCCCAAGCTTATTCAATTTTTTATTTATTATAGACAAGCATAAAAAAGAAAATAGCAGAGAATCCCTCCTTTTTTTTTTTTCTTACCAAAATATATATTTTCACTTTAGTAGAACTACAATTTCATCAGTGGATTTCTGTGTTGGCCAGATTTACTAGGCCAAATATTAAAAATTCCCCAGCAAATGCATTTTTCTCTTATAGTTTTCTGTCATCTGAAGAAAACATAAGGGCCTCCTATGTTATAAATGTAATTTTTGCTCATGTTATCAAATATGACACATTTAGGTTTGGACTGAGTTGAGGGTTTGTGAGGTGGTTTGGATGACTAGGTACTTCACGCAGGCGCGAACCAGCCTGACAGCTCACGCACTATCACGCCTTGACCCCCCTATTCCAGCAGGATATGATGGTCAATAAGTCCGATTCCAGGCTGCTGGATTCATACTGATGGCTCTGGTCTCCACAAATAGAACAAAGGTCCTGTGGTAGGAGTAGCGCTTGATAAATAACAGCCCGGGGTGGGGGAGGGGGAGGAGGACTGGTACCAGCTAGAACCCAGTCCCAGTCCCAGGAGAGCTCTCCTCAAGGCGCCGCGCTTCCAGAGAGTTCCAAGTGGGTCAAGGCTGGACCACGGCCAGGCAGAGCGCGTTTCCTTCCCCCAGCCCGGTCCCCACAGGCGCTGTGGACGGGTGCATGGTAAGGGGGGTGCACGGTAAGGGGGGTGGTCTTCAGCACCTGGGGCCCCAGGGGAGGAGGTGCCAGACTACAAGGAGGACTGTGAGGGGTGATACTGTGCACGGCGAGCAGAACGGAACAGGGTGAGGATATCCGACTGTCGGGTCTCAGCGCCTCCGGAGAAATGGGCTCCCGCGGTCTTCCGGAGACACAGGGGCTTAAGCTTCCGTCCCAGAAGAGGCTCTTCTGGGAGACCTTCGCCGAGCCAGCCCCAGGCACTAGGGTGCACCTTGCACCCCGCACTAGGTCATTCTCCACCCCCTCACCTGTCCGGATGGACACCGTACAGTCGATAAGCTTCGCGACGGACCTAGAGCCCCATAGACACGCCACCTTCTAACCCCTCGTTCAGCAGATGAGAGAACAAGACCATACGCTGACTCGATGTCCAGGCAGTTCACTGCAGCCAGTAAAGGAGTGACTATAAAATAGGACATGTTTACAGAGGTTACCTTCAATATAATTTATCAGCCCTGCTCATTTGTCTAATAGCCACACACAGTACAATAATACTGACGTACTTTTCAATATGTGTAACACAAGCTGGTAGACGGTGTACCTGGTACCGACCCTCCGCTCAAGGCTTAGGTTTCCTGGTTCATCAGACGAGGCTTCGTGGCCTGCGGATTTCCGCTTGTGACCTTAAAACGCGAGGAAATCCAGGGGACGCATGTGGGCGCCTGAGGGGGGGCAAGCGTGGAAGCGGGCAGGGCGGAGGGGGGAGGCGGACAAGAGGTAAGAGCTGGGTAAGAACAAAAACATGACACCCCCGGGGAAGAGGCCCGTTCAGTTCACTACCAAAACTCAAGATGTCAACCCTCGGCTTGGGCACCTCGGGCTTCCGTCCCAGGCAGGGTGGCCCAGGCTGGCTTAGGCGTGTCATGGAAAAGCTCTCCTGAGAACCATCGTGGGCTGCAGGAGTCGAGAACCACTGATCTGGGCCGAGGCCCACTCAGTAGTGAATGCTTTTCTTGGTCGTCTCTAAAATTGAATTAATATGTTTTCCTGGAGTGATGGAGGCCTAGAGCAGGTGTTGAATTACCCGGGGTCCCACAAAGAGTACGTGATGGTGGCCCGAGAATTCCTCTTCGGCACGTCCTGTCTATGAAAGTGCTTCACAATTGTTGAATTAATAGAAAAAGCTGATTTATTGTGTTCTGTAGCTGGCGCTCTGTACCGGAGCACTGCTCACAGCAGCCTGGGATTATTGTCCCGTATTACACTCGCAGAGACGAGACCCAGAATGCTGGCCTCACATATTCTCCTATAAAGAAATCAGACATAGATCCGGCTCTACCTTCGAAGGTGAAAATTGCTATTTTTAAACTTCACTTAATATCTTTAATGGATGCAGGGTGTCCGGTGGACTAAAGCAGGCATTTAGGATTGGCACCAAGATGTCAAACAAACCAAAACCAGTCCCATCCTCAGAGAGACTGGAGAGAAGAGACACAGAGGGACAGGTGCTGAGATGCAGGCACGTGGGAAGGAGAGTTGATGAGGGAAGAAAAAGGCAAACTGAGGGCCGAGCACAAGCTGACACTCTACAACCCCCTCTCGGGCGGGCTGTGTGTGACATTCCTCCTGACAGAGATCATAGTCCTGCAGGGCGTGAGTCTTCATCCGTTTGCCACTGTCTTAGTAACTTACAAGACAAACGCCATCTCCAGACACCTATAGACTCATGTTCCTGAGACACCCTCTCCTCCACAGGCTAGAACACCTTATGTAGTCAGTCACCCTTCACAACCCCAGGGAAGCTCTTTTCTGCCCATGGGCCCTGTCCCCATGCTGTAGTAAAATCACCTTTTCGCACCGAAAACGTGCCAAGAATTCTGTCTTGGCGGATGGCTCTGGATCCCCAGCTCCAATCACATCAGAATGATCTCTGGGGACTGAAGGCCCTGCCTCGGCGCTGCAGAGAGGAGAGCCTGATTCTAGAATAGGGCAGGAGCGACCATTTTTACTTGTCTGGAGACACTGGGGATAAATTCCAGGAGTCTCGCTGGTTCTCCTGGCCACGTGTGCATTGACATGCTAACCAAACACCCTCTTCCTAAACAACACTCACTGTCTTCCTTACTCCTGAGGAAGAAGGGGATTTGGGGTGAAGGGCTTGAGGAGTTTCCTTCATGTCCAAGTCCAGCTGCCTTGATAACTCTTTCCATCCCTGGGAGTCGGGAGAGCAGGCTGGCCATAAAGGTGGGCCTGAGGCGTGGGGTGGAGATGGGTGTGAGGACCCGGTCTCACAGAGGCCCAGGGCCCGAGGCTGTCTGTGGGCAAAGAGAGTGGAATTACTGATGTTGCCGAGTTCTAACAGACTGGGTGTCTGGGGAGAAGCTGGGACTGAATCTGCCACGAGCCAAGGACTCAGGGTGTCTGAATCTCCCTCCCTTCCTTAGTTTCAATGTTGTGGGGTGGGAGGGGCAGAGAAAAGGGAGACAAACCGGGCTCCAGGCTCCGAGCTGTCATCACAGAGCCCAACGTGGGGCTCAAACTCACGAACTGTGAGCTGAAGTCTGACATGCAACCGACTGAGCCACCCAGGTGCCCCAATCATCATTCTTTCTTATTCAGCAATGTAAGTGTTTAAGGGTATAGACTTCTCTGAGCAGAGTACTCTATTCCCAGCCATGCTAACATTAGGACGCGACTCCTCACGCGAAAAGACTACACTTGGATAAGACAGGACGTCAGGACACCACGACTTAGTGACATATCGTGCACCAAGGTGTGCTCTCTCAGTTGTCCTGTGGGTCTGAGGCTCCAGAAGTAGGTCAGTGCACTCAGACTATGGGGACAGAGAACAAGTAACACTGGGGTTCTTTGAGGGGAGGGAGATCATTTCCCTCTTCCCATCTTACGTTCTCCAACTTGGGTCCTATAAATTAGAATACAAAGACAATTAAGAGACAAAGAGAAGTTTATTAACATGTTGTGAGATAATAGAAAAAATATATAGTGGCTACTGCCCCCAGTTCCTGGCACAGGGCTCCTAAATCCTTTGGCACTCGCTGGTGATAGGAAGGTCTCTTGTTCTAATGAGGCAGCTTTGGGGGGCTCCTGGACAGCTTCAGGATGGGGGCAGGTCTCCAGAAAGAGCAAGCCATGACTAGAAGTTTGAAACTTTCGCCTCATCCCACCTAGCCACCCCTACCCCCCCCCAGGAGGGGCTGGTAACTGAGTAATAGTTGATAGTGCCTATGTGATGAAGCCTCCATAAAAATCCCAAGGTACAGAGTTTGAGGAGCTTCTGGGTTATGAACATATCCACGTGCTGGGAGGGAGACACACCCCAACTCCGTTAAGGACAGATGCTCCTGTGCTAGGAATGTTTTTGGACCTATGTATCTCTCTCTTTTTTTAAAGTTTATTTATTTCGAGAGAGATAGAGACAGTGTGAGCAGGGGAGCGGCAGAGAAAGAGAGGGAGAGAGAAAATCCCAAGCAGGCTCCGAGGCTGGGGACAGCCTTGCCGGACTGAGCCCTCAGCCGATGGGGTCTGCTCTAACTCTAGTTACTTGTCAGAATTGAAATGAACTGTAGGGTTTCTCACCTGTCGCAAGAAGTGAAATATTGAGAGTAGGTAGGAGTGACAGCGTAGAGGAGAAATGGAGTTTTCCCTAGACACATGGGAGCACTTGGAGACGAAGAACTCAAAGGGGCAACTGTCACTTGGGCTTATAGCATCTTAACAAAAGAACAATGGATTTTCAGAGAAGGACTAAGCCAAAGGAAGATGACTTTCTAGGTGGTGCATTGTGGGAAGGCACATAAACAGGGAAGTAACGGCAGACAGGGCAAATTTTAGGAAGATCTGTGATGGCGATTTCTCCAGTGCCCTCTCTGGGCTGATAAAGGTTTAGTGTTGTCCCTGATGCCTAACTCCTGCCCTTCCCAGTAGAGGGGAGATAGAGGATTCCTTTACACATTGATGCCCTTTTAGGCAAATAACTATTTGCTGAGACCATAAACTATTTCAAGAGAGCTGGCTGAGCACTGTCTGGACACTATCCACTTCTTTTCCAGTACTGAGTCCCCGAAGACAATGTGTTTTCATTCTTTATCTCCTTTCCATTTGAAACATCTCATCGTAAGCCCCTTTACACTCTTCTGTCATACGTCACTTGTCATCGCCCGGGCAGAGCTCACCAGGCCTGGGGGGTGTCTGCCCACCTCTGGGCCTCTGGCTCAATGATGAATCCGACGTCAGCGGTTTGAAGAGTCGCTGCTGTTTTGATTTTCCTGCTCTTTCATGCAGTTGGCAGAGACGATGGCAGCTTTCCCTCCCTCCCCCCTCATGAGTTCGTATGGCATCCAACAAACTGGCAGAGTGCAGACCTTCTGATCGCTGGGTCACCCTGCGGGTCTCGCAAAGATTCCTGTCTCTCCGGGCTCGGAACCCACTGCGGGTGGTGAGGGTAGTGCATGATCATTGCTGTTACCTTGCCTCCCTCCAGCTCGGGCCGGCCGTCTGTGGTGTTTGCAGTTTCTGTCCATTCATTCAAAGCCGTTTATTCAGCAGCCACTACAAGCCTCGCAGAGTTCTAAGTACAAGAGCAGTGAAAAAAACAGACAAATTTCTGCCCTCACGGGGTTTCCATTATGTTTTCTATGCTGGTTAAACCAGACGGAGAATTTGCTTCTTTTCTCACTTGTCCAGAGGAGGCAGGAACAAAGGAGAATGTGGGTAAACCTGGAAGTAGGGCCGGAGAACGTCAGAGAAGGAGGCCCTCGGGAAGGTAAAGATGTGGGAGCCAGTGGTCATGTTTTAAAAGGATACAACTCCGACATCGTAGTCCAGAAAAACCCCCACAACCAGGGGCTTCTCCTTCAGATAAAGGGAGGTTACGGGAGAGGTGAGCGCCACATAGCCTTTCTTTGCACTTAGTCTGATGATCCAGAACCCAGACTGAGGGCTCTGTATCACCCCATCTCTGGGCACATTTTCCCGACAAACTCCTAAACTCCAGCTGGTTCCTTCTCCTACATCCACTTCAAAGTACTGTTTTCCTGAGGTGAAGCCTTCACAGCCCAGGACACAGGGTAAGACAGTGAATCTCCTAGAGGAATTGCCCAGATTCTCCCGGAGGTGTCCGCGAATTACTTGTCTCCGATCCTCAGACAGAATTAGCTCACGATGGGCTGTGTCATCATCCAGAGTCACATTGACTGAAAAAAAAAAGTAAGTAAGTAAGTAAATCAATAAAGAAGAAAAGAAGGAAGGAAAGGAGGAAGGAAGGGAGGAGGGAGGGAGGACCTGAGTGAGTTTATGTACACTTAATGCTCAGTAAAATTCCTGGAATATGAGTAAGTGTCCAAGAAGTGGTAGTAATAGTAATATCATCTTCACCATCACCATCTTACTCACTCGGCAAAGCCAAGGACCGGAACTAACCAGAGCTGACGTGGCTGGTGTCCTCTCCGAAGCCAGCGCGGAGCACTACAGGAGAGCGCGGTGCAAAAAGCAGGCGAGCTGGGAGTATTTAGTACCGGAGTCTGAGTCCCGCCCCTCCCCCGGCTGTCAGTTGGAGGGCCCGCACTCTGCGTCAGGTCACAGTCTCCTACAGTTACAGCGCCCTCCGCCTGCTACTGAGGCCCAGAAGAGGGGCCAACTCCCTACCTCCCCAAGGACTCCCAGCCCTGGCTGCTTCACTGCTCCTTGTTAACGACCCGAATCTTCATCTTGCAGATAAGCCCTTTATTCAATGCTACCCAATCAGTCCTTATAATGAAGCTGACTCACAAAAAGTTGAGGTTTCAATTTATGTTATCTGAATGGTCCACGAAACCCCAAGTTAAGAAATCAAAATGCTTACACTTGAAGGAGAAAATATCAAATGGGATTTTAAAAAGGTACCTCATATTGCTTATAAGGTAGATAAGAATCAATAAGAGAAAGAACTCAATAGAAAAATCCTTAAATAAGAGCAAATTCATGGGTAAGTCATTGAAGAAGCCTGAAAGGCTAATGGACTATAAGAGGCTCAAGCTCACAGTGAAATCATAGAGCACAAAGTCCACAATTAGGTACCATTTCAGATCCATCAGATTGTCAAAAATTATAAATCATAAACAAAGACTCAGGGAGATGTGCAATGGTGAGGGCTCTCATGTCGCCAGTAGGGCAAAACCTGATCCAATGTCAGGATCTGCAGGATTCAGACAGATTAAGGCGTGCATCCCTACACCGCAGCTTTTCAATTCAAGGTGTATCTCCGAGGAAACCGTTCACGGGACACAAGAGCATATGGCTAAGATCGCTCACAGGAGTCTAATGTGCACCGGCAACAAACAAAACCAACTGTACACACACCTCAGTGCCCACTCCACAAACAGTGAGTTAAAAAACACATCGTATTCATTTTTTGCCACATTGCAGAGCGATTAAGAGGGCACTTGTGGGGATGAGCCCTGGGCGTTGTATGGAAACCAACATGACAATAAACTATTAAACAAATAAGTAAACAAACAAATAAAGTAAGCAAGTGACAAAAAAAAAAGTAATAGACACTACCTGAGTTACCACTCACTGGCTGCCTATCTGTTTCCTCATCTGTACAAGTGGAAAAAGCTACCTACAGAGAGGGCGGTGGTATAAAACAGTAACAGGTGAAGTTTTTCTCATCTGTCACGGAAAGAGTGCTTGGTATATGTAAGTTGCTTTTTGCAGTGCTAGTGAGAGTTCATGTTACCTTACTGAACAAGTAACAAGCATTAAGATTAAAAATCCCAGGGGCGCCTGGGTGGCTTAGTCGGTTAAGCGTCCGACTTTCGCTTAGGTCATGATCTCGCGGTTCGTGGGTTTGAGCCCCGCGTCGGGCTCTGTGCTGACTGCCAGCTCAGAGCCTGGAGCCTGTTTCAGTCTGTGACTCCCTCTCTCTCTGACCCTCCCCTGCTCACGCTGTCTCTCTCTCTCTCTCCTAGAAATAAATAAAACATTAAAAAAAAAAAAAAGATTAAAAATCCCAGCGACCCCAGTGCTAGGTATATGCCCTACATGGATGGAGACACTGGGATGTAAGTAAGTTTGGCCCAAGAAGTCACTGCAGTGGTGTTACGATACCCAAGCGCTGGGGGCAGCCTGGAGCTCCCGTGGTAGGGATATGGTTCCATAGAATTATGATATTCTTATGGGATATTAGCATTAAAAAGCAATGAGTGACATTCTATATATTAAATGTTTATAATCAGTGTTCTACAGTTTTCAGAGTACAAGCCTTTCACCTCTTCAGTTAAGTTTTTTCCTAGGTTTTATTATTTTTGGTGCAATTGTAACTGGAATTGTCTCCTTAATTTCTCTTCCTGCTACTTCATTATTACTGTGTAGAAACACAATGGATTTCTGTATATTGATCTTGTATTCTGCACCCTTACTAAATTTATCTATCAGTTCTGGTAGTTTCGGGGTGGTGCCATCAGGGTTTCCTATATATAGTATCATGTCATTTATAAATAGTGAAAGTCTTGCTTCTTTTATTTATTTTTCTTATCGGATTGCTGTGGTTAGACTTTCAGTACTATGTTGAATAAAAGTGGTGAAAGCGGACATCCTTGTCTTCTTCCTGACCTTAGGGGAAGAGCTCTCTATACCACTGAGTATGTGAGTGGTGGGTTTTTCATATACGGCCTTTATTATGTTGAGGTATGTTCCTCTATATCTACTTTGTTGAGAGTCTTTATCATGAAATGGATGTTGTAATTTGTCAAATGCTTTTTCTGCATCTATTGAAATGGTCATCTGGTTTTTATCCTTTCTCTTGTTGATGTGATGCACCACATCGTTGTCTTGCCAATATTGAGACATCCTTGCATCCCAAGAATAAATTCTGCTTGATCATGGTGAATGACATTTTTAAGGTATTGTTAGATTCCATTTGCTAGCACTTTGTTGACGATTTGTGTCTATATTCATCAGGTATATTGACCTGTCATTCTCTCTTTTTGTAGTGTCTTTAATCTGGTTTTGGTATCAGGGTAATGGTGGCCTTGCAGAATGGAGTTGGAAGCTTTCCTTCCTCTCCTATTTTGTGGAATAGTTTGAGAAAAATAGGTATTAACCCTTCTTTAAGTGTTTGGCAGAATTCTGGTCCTGGACTTTTATTTGTTGGGAGTTTTTTGATTACTGATTTAATTTCATTGCTCGTAATGGGTCTGTTCAAATTTTCTATTTCTTCCCGATTCGTTTTTGGGAAGTTATATGTCTCTATTCTAGGAACTTATCCACTTATTTTAGGCTGTCCATTTTGTTGGAATATACTTTTTCATAATATTCTCTTACAGTCCTTTGTATTTTGGTGATGTCAGTTGTTATTTCTTCTCTTTAATTTCTGAGTTTTGTTTATTTGAGTCCTCTCTCTCTCTCTCTCTTTCTCTCTCGTTTATGAGTCTGGCTAAAAGTTTATCAATTTTGCTGATCTTTTCAAAGAAATAGTCCCTGGTTTCATTAGTCTTTCTACAGTTCTTGGTTTTTTTTTTTTTTAGTTTCTACTTATTTCTGCTCTAATCTTTATTATTTCCTTCCTTCTACTGGCTTTGGAGTTTGTTCTTCTTTTTCTAGCACCTTTATGTTTAAGATTAGGCTGTTTATTTGATATTTTCTTGCTTCTTGAGGTAGGTCCTTATAAACTTCCTTCTTCAAACAATTTTTGTTGCATCCCAAAGGTTTTGGACCATTGTGTTTCCATTTTCATTTGTCTCCATGTATTTTTTTCAATTTGCTCTTTGAGATCTTGGTTAACCCACTCATTGTGTAGTAGCATGTTATTTAACCTCCATGCATTTGTGTTCTTTCCAGATTTTTTCTTGTGGTTAATTTCTAGTTTTATAGCATTGTTGTCAGAAAAGATACATGATATGGCTTCAACTTTTTTAAATTTGTTGAGATTTGCTTTTGTGGCTTAATATGTGATTTACTCTGGAAAATGTTCTACATGGCTTGACAGGAATGTGTCTTCTGCCGGTTTAGGATGGAACGTTCTGAGTATATCTGTTAGATCCATCTGCTCCAACGTGTCATTCAAAGCCACTGCTTCCTTGTTGATTATCTATTTGGATGATCTGTCCATTGATATAAGTGGGGTGTTAAAATCCCTTACTATTATTGTATTTCTACTGATCACTTCCTTTATGTTTGTTATTAGCTGCTTTCTGTATTTGGGTGCTCTCACGTTGAGTACATACGATTTCAGAGTATTTTTGATGTCATAAAGTATATAAATATACATATACTTTAAATTACATGCCCACCCCTGGCCAGGTCTTAAGCAGTGCCCTGTGACCAAAGACATCAATATTTCTGCAGTAAAATACATTCTCAAACTAAGTGGGATAAAGACTTCAGACAGTATCCTATCAGTGCAGCTCTGGTGTGGCAACTGTGACAGACAGACACAAGAGTGGTCTTCCACAATCCCTGCCTTCTGGTGTTATGCCTTATACAGTCCCTCCCTTTTGAGTGTGGGCAGGACCTGCGAATTGCCTCTGACCAACAGAATATTGCAAAAAATGATGTGATGTGACTCCTATGATTCTATTTCATTATACGGGACTCTATCTCACTAAAAGACATGCTCTAGAGACTCTCTCCCGAGCTCGCTTTGAAGAAGTAATTGGCCATGTTGAGAGGCCCATGTGCAAGAGGTGGAGGGGTACCTTCTAGAAGCCGAGGGCAGCCTCTAGCCAACAGCTCCCAAAAAATCCAGGGCCCTAAGCCCTACAATCGTAAAACAATGAATTCTGCCAACAACCTGAGTGAGCTTGGAAGAGGACTCTTCCCCAGTCTGGTCTCCATGAGACCCCAGCCCAGCCAGCACCTTAATCTGCAACCTTATGAGATGCTAACCAAAGGACCAACATAGGTGTGCCCAGATTTATGACCGGCAAAACTTGTGAGATAATGTATGTGTGTTGTTTTAAGCCGCTAAATTTGTTTACTGGTGTAGATTATACAGCTGCCAAATCATTTTAGGTTAGGTCCAATTTTGTAGCCAAACAAGTTTTAAAAAACGTACATTTTTCAGAACTTTTAAAATTTTGTAATTATAAATAAAAGTTTTGGAAATATAGGAAGCACTGATTCAGACCATCAACAGAGCAAGAGCTTGGGCTTTGGACTTGATAAGATTTGATTTTCATTATGGTTCTAATATTTACCATCTGCGTTATCTGGGCCAAAGTCCTAAAATCATTTGAACCAAAGTCTGTAATACTTACTCATCTTTCTTACATTGTTCTGAGAGTTGAGTGAAATATTAGCCACAAACTCTATGTCTTAGACACGGCACAAAGAACTTTACACATGTTGACACATCTATATTTCATGACAACCCCGAGAAGTGGACATTCTTCCTATCCTCATTTCTCAGCTGGGGAAACTGAGGAAGGTATTTGCCAGGGACGACTAAGTTAATACATGGGAGCACAAGAATCTGAAGGGTCTGCACAGATAACCCATACGCTATATCTCTAAAAATCACTAACCGACCTCTCTGGGCATGAGCCTGCACGGGGACAGGTGGCAAATGTGGTTACCACTTAAGGTTCCTCTCACGCATAGCATTTCGGGATCCTTCACATACCTTGATAGCTCTGTAACCTTTTCTTCATATCAAAATAAAGCTCAGAAACACTGCACACAGTATGAACTTCCAAAGAATGGGCCTCTGGTGTTTCCAGCTTCACAGCCGAACTCCTAGAATAAGGAGAGGCCGAGGATCACTTCAGTGATACATTCCATCCAACTCAGTCTACCCATCCCCCTTCCCTCCTGCAGTCATATAGGACTTACCGGCGCAAGGTCTCTTTCACATCCTGCAGAGAAACAAAGACAAAAAGGGAGTGTGAGAACATCGGTATTTCTTGAGGATTGGCACATGGGGCTGCTCTCTGGAAATGCTCCTTCCAAAGGAGTAGAGAGAGTGACCCCAGCCTAAGATTGTGATGGACCCTCAGATAGAATGATTCCCAGCCCAGCCTCGGAATGCTTGGCGCGACAGGACGCTCATCAGCATGTGAGTCTGTCCTCTTCCTTGCTGAGATCTGCGTCTGCAGTCACTGCCTGTGGGAAGCCGGGGCAAGAGGCCAGAAGCTTCACCCCCGCCCAGCAAGACTTAATTCTTGCCTTGGCCTAATTTCTTTCAGAGTGAGCCCATGGTAAAGATCACCTGTCAGTAAGGGTCCTTTGTGGCGGAGCCATGCACAGCCCCATGCAAATGGGCCGCTGAGATGGTGGTGGCCATTATCACATGGTAGTACAGCACTCACGGAGTCTCATTTACAGTGTCACCTCTAGTTCTATTAGTGGGAACCAGAGCGAACAGTTCCTGGCATAGTTTACCTTACTGGGCTGGGTCTTTCATTCAGCTCAAAGAAGGCCCCATAAGGGCTGTGAAACAAATCAGGGAAAAACTGTCACTCACGCCTGCTGCCCCACTGCATCGCCCACCAGGCTCGTGGTGGGGCATTTCAGTAGGCAGTCTGACAATCAGGGTTCTGTGCACATGGGACAGAGGCGAATGGTAGCAAGTTACCCCATGATTCTGTTCAGACAAGGACCCCACCACGTCCACCCAGTGGGGGTATATTTTTCTCATTTGCATCAAGGTGCCCTAGAGACTACCGAAGGCCACCCTGTAGACACTGAGGTATATCTAAACATTCCTTTAAATTCCTCACATCAACATGCCCCTTTTGAGTGAGGCAGGCAGGCCTCGCCAGTCTTCCCATGCGCCCTCACCCTTTTGCTTTAATAGCTCAAGAGTCCCTTCCCCCAAGCGCACAGGCCCACCTGCAGCAGCTTCTGGGCTGAGCTCTGACATCTCTCCTCTAGTTCCAGGATGTGCCTCCTGAGTTCTTGGCTCTTCTGTTCCAGAGTGGCCTCATTACCCATCAGTCTCTGTAGAGTCTGCTCTTTCTCTTTCTCCAGTTTCCACAGATAAGACTTCTCCTCTTCATGCAGGAATCTCTGAAGATTCTTAAAGTCAGACTGGATTTTTTGCTTCTGACTCTCTGTCTTCTCCTACAGTCAAGAAAGTGTGTGAGAAAGTGGAAACAAGCCAAACGTCCATTGGTGAATGAAGTGAAGAAATGTGGCGGACGGACAATGGGATACTACTCAGCCTGAACAAGGAACGAAATTCGGACGTATGCTACGACACGGATGAATCTTTAAGACATTATGCTAAGCAAAATAAGCCAGAAAGCAAAGGACAAATCCGTTTGATTCCACTTACATGAGGCAAATAGACTAGTCAGGTTCATAGAGACAGAAAGTGAAAGAGTGGTTGCCAAGAGTTGAGAGGAGAAAGGAATGGGGAGTTAAGTGTTTAGCGGGTACAGGGTTTCAGTTTGGGGTGATGAAAAGGTTCTGGAGAGGAGTTCCTACTAAAGGATGGTGGTGATGGCTGCACAACAATGAGAAAATACTTAGTGCCACGGAACTGTACACTTACAAATGATTACAATGGTAAATTTTATGTTACCCATTATTTTAACATGCACGCAGAAGAAAAGTTTTCTGAGCTACTGTGACATTCTTTTCCCATGACTCATTGGAGCTGGAAGAATGTCACAAATTTCCTGATGGGGGCAGGCTTTCAGATGTGGGAGAGCTGTCACAATTCTATACAGTCACCCGATCGATTACCTTCTTCAGCCGAGATGGAGGAGGAAGGAGGGGCAGGAGCGTCAGATAATTTAATCATGGAACGAGGGTTGAAGTCAAACACTTTATCAGCGATAGAGGAAAAAACCATGAAGTTTTTATTTGGGATGCAAGGAGGTATTTCTGGGCCCGAGGGAATTTTTTGAAGCAAAAGCTTGTAATGAACATCATGGAGACTTGACTCTGAGACAGCAGGCCAGCAGGGAAGTCAGTGCTATCAGTGGGGGTGAGATCGGGGTCGGGGGGGGGGGAGATTCTATCATAGTTATGTGTAGCTTGACAGAGGCCAAATGATATATCTTGTGGGACCAGACTTTCATGCTGGGAGGTACAGAATTACAGTTTCCACTAGTGCTTTCCTTATTCACACCGTGTTCTGATGGCTGAGATGCCATGCTAAAAGTGTCATGGATGGGTTTTCCATATATATATTAGTGTTTTTTTTTTCCTTGAGAGAGAATGCACAAGCAGGGGAGGGGCAGAGGGAGAGGGAGAGACAGAATCTTAGGCAGGGTCTGTGCACCAGTGTGGAGCCCAATGCAGGCCTCGATCTCACGACTGTGAAATCATGACCTGAGCCAAAATCAAGAGTCTGATGCTTAACTGACTGAGACGCCCGGGTGCCCCACTGTATATGTTAGTTATAATCAAGATCCTCCCCACTGCCCAAGAACCCCGAAATAAGGGAAGTGAGAGTGTCCTTTGAGAGTTTAGCATCCACACACCAAGGATTAGGGCAGAGATTGGAAGAGGCCCCTGAGAGAGGCAAAGGGGTCCATGAGCCTGAAGGATTCTGCTGTGTGTTGACAGATCACAGAAAGATTTCCATAATGGAAGGCATCTCTGATCATGGCGAGCTAGTCGGCCATGGAGACCATCTTAGAGACCCTTGGTCTTCAGTTTCAGCGTGTGGCTCTGGCAACAGTTACGAGCCTCCTTTTAGACCAAATAGACTTCCTTTATCAGCCTCACGGGCTTGGACAACATGAATCTCAACCCGGAGTGACTCCATTTTCTCAGTGTTCACAAAGACTGGCTTCTAAAGCTGTGAAGTTGAGAGCCACACTCTGCTCTGTGTTAAATGTGCCAACATAATAAAGTTGAGGCCAGGAAGGTACTGTGAGGTGTTCAAAATGTGAAACCCTAGGCAAGGATGGCTCTAACCTACATAGGCATACCAATTCTGGTATCAGGAATCCTAGCCAATCACTATTAAAAAGTTGAAGGGATTGGAGATAAATTCTCACAGACGTAGACAACTAGGGGCATAGAGGGAAATAATGGTTTCTTTTTTGGGTTTTATGTGGTTTTATTTGGTCTGGTTTAGGGAAAATGAATTATCATTATGTTTTACCAATTGTCCGCCAGGCCTATGCTCTAGAATAGAAAGTAGCTTGAGATCAATGAACCCAAATTCTTACATTCCATTCACTTATTTGCTTTCTTGTGAACAGCTTGAGTTTTGTACATTCCTCTTCCAGCTCCCTCAAGTTTGTCACAGCATTCTGGAGCATTTCCTGAAGGGAAGATTGGGTGCATAAAGTCTATTCAATTTGACAACTCTTCATCAGGCACCTAAGAGGAACCCCAGCCCTCCCAGACTGTTAGAATAACACTGAATATACACTGAGTCACTACACTCACTAGTCTAGGAAGCACACCTGTATGTTCTGCCACGTACGTGATCCTCCTTGGTAGCACTGAGAAACTGATGCATTTTGACATCATTTCTATGCTGTAGAAACTGAGGCTTGGAAAGGGGTTAAATAGGGGCCCCTGGATGGCTCAGTTGGTTAGGCGCTGACCTCAGCTCAGGTCATGAACTCACGGGGTTCGTGAGTTCGAGCCCCCCGTCGGGCTCCGTGCTGACAGCACAGAGCCTGGGACCTGCTTCAGATTCTGCATCTCACTCTCTGTGCCCCTCCCCCACTCACGCTTTGTCTCTCTCTCGCTCGCTCTCAAAATTAAGATAAACATTAAAAAATTAAAAAAAAATTGGGGGGGGTAAATAACTTGCCCAAGGTGCTATGACAGGTTGGTGGCTGACACGTGAGCCCGCCCTCACCTGCTAACTCAGAGCCTGAGCTATGTCCACCGCTTACAGTCTCCCCAGGGAAACGCTTCACGTAGGACAAGACAAGCATCATCTAAAAGCAGATTTTATAAAAGAATGTGCGGAACCAAACACAACCAATGCCAGAATGTCTGACGCACGCGGAACTGTGTGTGCACTATGGTAAGTCGGGAAGGGAAGACCAGCACACCAGCTCAAGTTCACACCAGCTCATAGAAACAGCTAATGGAGGTGGGTAGTGCTGGTAGCTCTCAAAGGGTCATAATCCACGAAGCCAATCTAAAATGTTTTAGCATCAATATCAAGCTTTTGGGTTACTTTTCAGAATAGCTTCTCGCATTTTCATGGAAAGCAATTCTAAGCTGACCTAAATTGCTAGTTGTGATTAATACTACAAGGGTCAGCTCCTGTCTTCTGTAAACCCAATAAGTATACTCATTAATTCTTGAGTATTCTTCAGAAAGGGCTCTAGGAAGCTTGTCAGTAAAAGACTATATTGCCCTTTCTGCCCAGGGGACCCAGAATCTCACTACAAGCCCACCTCTACCTCATGGGCTCCACACTGGGGACAATACTTTCCTCAAATGTAGGCAGGACCGAGGGAGACTAAGGCAGCAGGACTGTGTCCCTCCTTTGTTTCCTGTGGCAAAGGCCAGCCTTCCTCTAATGCTTCTGAGTGAGAAACTTAGGAGTTGCCCCAAACCTCTCCCTCCCCCTTGTCCTCCGTGAACATCATTTCCAAATCCCTCAGCTCCTCTTCCTAAATCTTGCTGGAAACTGTCCCATTTATCCCTTCTTATAGGAATAATCTCAATTTTACCCCTTAATACTTTTACTTTTTCAGTGCCGGGATGTCCTTTTCAAAGTCAACCTATCCTTCAATCTGCAAATAACACCGCCCCCCCCTCCCCCCCCGCAGTGGCCAGTATTGCTCTGGGCTAAGATTTAGACTCTGAGTTTATACCGTGGTTCTGGGCTCAACCTCCTTTCCCAGTCCGTCCCCTGCCTTTCCCTACATCGCCAGTCCTGCTGTGCCACCACATGTGGTCCCCTCTCTGTGGAACATCCTCTCTTTTCTTTTCTTTTCTTTTTTTAAAAAATATTTTTATTTATTTCTAGGAGAGAGAGACAGCTTGAGCAGGGGAGGGTCAGAGAGAGAGGGAGACACAGACTCTGAAGCAGGCTCCAGGCTCTGAGCTGGCAGTCAGCACAGAGCCCGACGCGGGGCTCAAACCCACGAACCGTGAGATCATGACCTGAGCGAAAGTCGGACGCTTAACCGACTAAGCCACCCAGACGCCCCAGCCTCTCTTTTCTCCACGTCTCTGTCCACAGTTAATTGTTACGTGTCCTTCAGGAGCCACTTCTCAGAAGGCTCCTTGCTGACGTGTCTTCCCTACGGGACTGCAGGATACCTACAAGCGGTGTATCTTTGTTTCCTGTGTGTTCAGAGCGTATCAGGGTCTTGCCCGCTGTGGTTTCTAAACTTATACACATGGCGTGAAGCAAGAAACCATGCAGGGCTGGGTTGGAGCACACTGCATTCTGGAGCACGGGGTCGTGCCTCACAGCAAGACTGGAGAGGGACCAGGCGGTGACCTTCCTGCTGAAGGTCAGGACGGACAGTCAGGACTTGACTCAGGGAGGACCCATAACAAACTATTTGTCCTGTCATGAAAGACAGGGCCTGAAGGATGGCTTGATGACAGCTGTATTTCAGGGTCACCTTCTCAGGTTACAGGCCTCAAAGCTGCAGGCCCCGGGAGCGGCACTGGCCACAGCCCTCCAGTCCACCCACTTACCTGGTAGCCTTGGCATACGTCCTCGATGACGGCCGTGTTGTGCCCTTGGTGCTGCGGTGACCGCTCACAGCGCCAGCAGATGAGCTGGCCTTCGTCTTCGCAGAAGATGTGGAGGAACTCCCCATGTTCCTCACAGGACATGTCCTGATGCATCTCCTTGATGACCTCTATGAGACTTCCCAGCTGCTTGTTGGGCCGGAGGCTGGTCACCTGAAACGGAGCCCGGCAGTGGGGGCAGTAGAAGAGAGTTTGTGAAGGTATCTCCCGGCGGATGTTCTCAAGGAAGCCGGTGATGCACTGTCTGCAGTAGCTGTGTCCACAGCTGATGCTCACGGGCTCGGCCATCAGGAGCAGGCAGATGGCGCACGTGGCTTCCTCCCTCATCTTCTTGCTGACTATGGGTGAGGCCATGGCTTTTCCTGACAAGGTCCAGGATGGAGCCGGACGTGGAGATGAAAATCCACAGGGATGGAAGTACCGTCACCCGCTGGCTGCCCACGGGCCTCCACGCGCCTTGGGGGCTCCTCTCTAGAGAGAAGAAATGGGCCGGAATTTAGAGGATACATAAATGCAGCTGTGTTGGGGGCACCGGGTGGCTCAGTGGGTTAAGCTTCCGACTCCGACTTTGGCTCAGGTCACGATCTCACAGTCTGGGAGCTGGAACCCGAGCCCTGTGTCTGGGGCTCTGTGCCTACAGACAGCCCAGGGCCTGGCGCCTGCTTCGACATTTACATTACATACATTTACATGAATTAAAGTGAAATAAAATTTAAAATTTATCTTCTCAAACCCGCTAGCCTTGCAGTTGTTTAACAGTTGCGGTGACTGGTGGCTCCGTGAGAGCCCAGAGGCGACACTCCAGCCCTGCACAAAGGTTTCTTCCAGCAAGCACTGCGCGCCAGGGGACAGGAAGCCCAAGTCAGGGAGGGAGCTAAACCCTTTCTGCTCTAACTATTCCAGAACTATTTCTCTGGGACTGGCAGGAACACCGAGGTAACTGGGTGGTGTGTCAAGGATTCCATCCAGATCATCAAATGTGACTCTACCGCAACGAACGAACCCCCCGCCCCGCCCCCCTCCGTCCCACAAGGAACAAAAGACAGCAGGTTATCACGGTCTCAGTGGAGCTCCTACCGGGACGATAATGAAAGTAAGCAAGGCAAGAAGAAGCAAGGTGTCCTCCCTGGGGTCCTCGAAGGCCTGAGGGGAAGGAGCTGAGAGAAGGGCTGTCCTGGGGGGCGGAGCTCCTGGAGAATTAGGGAGGGGGCCCCCGTCTTCTCCAGGCCAGGGCCTGTGTCTCGGGGCGACTGGAGCGCAGGGGTTCGCAGGAGCGGGGTGCGGGGGAAGCGGGAAGCAGATGCGGCAGGGGGAGCCCGGGGACCTGCCGACGACCGGAGCCTGGAGGCGCGCGGGGAGCCCAGGAGGCGGCCGCGCCCACCGCGCACAGCCGGGGACCTCGCCCTGTTCCCCACTTCCCGCTCCCGCGCGCCTGCGGGGAGCAGAGCGGCGGGGACCGCGTTGAGAGTGGCCTTTCCTTTGACAGTAACACAACCAGAAGCCGGGGTGCAGCTCGAGGTGCCTGACGGGCCGCTGTCGTCGAACAGCCCAGCCGGGACAGTCTCTCGAAGTCTGGGAGGAGTTCCTTTGGGGACCTCGGCGCCCTGGCGGGGTGGGGGTGGGGGGCTCTCTGCGGCGCACGCGCGCCTCCCGGGCGCGCACCGCGCCTCCCTCCCGGCGTCCCGGGCCCGCACCCCCTCCCCACTCACCGCACCACGCGCGTCCGCCGAGCCGGGAGACCACGGGCGGGGGGCGGAAGGCGGTGCCGACCGTGTGCAGGGTTCGCGCGGCTGTGTCCGCAGCACGCACCCCCCCACACACTCACTCACACTCACACTCACACGCGTGGGCGCATCCCAGCCCCCGTCCCCCGCCTTCCCCGCCGCGGACGCACCCTCGGCTGCGGGGTCGCCGCCGCCGCCGCCCCACGCCCAGCGGGTTCGCGGATCGCAGGCTCGGAAACGAAACTGCTGTGGGAGGCGGGCCGTCAAGTCGGTGCCCGCGAGGGCGGGGAGGGAGCAGGCGGCGGGGTCGCGGGGTCAGGAGGAAGAGGAGGGGGGAGGAGGGCCTCGGAGTCCTGGGGAGAGGAGGAGGCGGCGGGCCGCGGGCCCCGAGGTCCCGGGTTCAGGAGGAGGAGGAGGAGGGAGAGGGGGAGGGGGGCCCCAGGGGCCCGGGAGGAGGAGCGTACCGCCCAAATCTCAGCGCTCCGCGACTTGGAAAGAATACCTCTGTCACAGCAATCAAAACGCGGGACAGATTAAGGACCCCGTCAACTATTTTGTGACCTTAACCCCGAGCGTCTCAGCTCGGAAAGCTCGAGGCGCTTCGGTTCACAGACTCCGACTCAGAATCCGCCCACTTTTGTCACCACCCCCTTTAGCATCCGCCGGCCTCCGGGGGGCCCAGCCCTGTCTGTGACGGGCGAGGGGCGCGGCGAGGCGGGCTGGCGACAGCCGCAGCGTCCCCCGGGTCACGGCGTCGCCACGCCCGCCCCCTGCGCCCCCGTCCCGCGCGGTGGCCCATTTTCCTCCTCCGCGCGCGTCGAAGGGACTCGGACGCCGCCGCCCTTCCGCAGCCGGAGACGCCCTCGGGGGCACAGAGGTCGCCCAGCCAGAGTCCAGCCGGTCCCAGACCAGCAAACGGGCTCCCCTCTTCCTTTCCCTGACGCTCTGTGCTCCTTGGGTCCTTCCGCCACCTGGTGGCCCCTCGTGCCCGCCAGCGCGTCACGTGGGGGCCCCGCGCCCAGCGCCCTGAGGCAACAGGCACACGGTCGGGGACAAAGGCTGAGCCCCCGAACCCCTGTCCCCATGAGGGCTCCTTGCAGATCCCCGTGACTTTCACCGTCGCGGACGTGACTGCGGCCCGGGCATAGCTGTTCCCAAGCCTGTCCTCTCAGGTTGGGGAGGAGGAAGCCAGCGAATGCCAGAGCGAAAACTAACCTCCGCTACTACAAATAACAGCGAGACCAAAGCCACGACGTGGTGACCGGGGTGTCTTGTGACAGCTGCGTCACTTTGCATCTGTTTCCCGCGGCGGGCGCGAGGGAGCGGCTGTGGTTCACGCAGGCGGCTGCGGACGTGGCAGGAAAGGCGTCCCAGATGAGCCTCCTGGGGTGCGTCCCCCGGAGGCGGGCCTCGGAGGGACAGAAAGGAGCCGCCCCAAGGGGAAATGCATCACCTCCAGCGAGGCTGGGATGCAGGAATGAGGAGTGGGTCGCCGGAGTCCCCTTTAAAAGGCTTGCACCCTGAGTGTTGCCCCTTTGGGGAATGACTGTCCTTCACGAAACGCTGGGGTGCCTGCCCTCAACTCCCTCGGGTACCCTTTCTCAACCAAGCTCACTCGGACCCCCTGTTCATAGTCGCACCCCTCCCTGCTCCCGTCCTTCTTTCCGTGCCTATTTTGTTCCTTAGCACTTATCACTGCAAATGTTATTTATGCATCTTGCTGACTGTCAGCCTCCTGCATGGGAATACACTTCCACAACGGTAGCGATTTTTGTCAGTATTTTCACTGACGAATTCCAAGTGTGTAGAAGAGTTCCAGGCATGGGAGGATGGAGAGTGACTTTCTGAGCTGCACCAAACATACATCGTAGGAAGCGTGTGCACATGTGTGTAATGCGTGTAGTGTGGTGGAGGTGTGCGTGATCTGTGAGGTGTGTGATGGTGTGTGCTATCCGCAGTGTGTGCTATGTGTGGTGTCTGTGGGCATGCATGTGTAACACACATGTCTGTGTGGTCTGTGTCATGGGGCCTGCGGTGGTGTGGGATACATGATTTGTGTCTGTGTGACATGTGTGATGGGGTGTGTGTGTGCTGTGTGCGGTATGGGCATGTGTGTGTATGTGTATGTTGAAGGTAGCGGGCGAGTTAACATGGCAAGGAAGATGGAAATACAGTATTTAAGGTTCTTATTCTATAAGATAAACTGTGATTGGGGTGCTGGGTGGCTCAGTCGGTTAAGCGTCCAACTCTTGATTTCCGCTCAGGTCATGATCTTGAGGCTTGTGAATTCAAGGCCTGCACTGGGCTCTGTGCTGATGGTGTGGAGCCTGCTTGGGATTCTCTCTGTCTCACTCTGCCCCCCTCCTGCTCTTGCCCGCATGAACTCACTCACTCTCTCTCAAAATAAATAAATAAACTTTAAAAAGAAAGAAAAGTAATAACAAGATGATAGACTTAACTCTACACATATCAATAACCACGTTTATTGTAAGTGACATAAATACCCAAATTCAAAGGCAAAGGTTGTCATGAAAAATCACGGGCACAAACACAGCAAGACCCCTCCATATGTTGTGAACAAGAAAGTCGCTTTAAATATAAATCACAAATAGCCCACCATTGCTTCTCACCAAGTTTATTGAAACCTCCCAGGTGGCCTTCAATCCATCCTGAGTGTTTGGTGGTTTTGCCATTGTTTTCTTCATTGTTCGGGTAAAGTTACCTGTGGGTGTTGGAGGGCCCGGATGAAGGTGTTCTCCTCCAGAGACCTGTTTGCTTTCGCCAGGCGCCTGCAGTGCCACCAGCCAAGAATTATTTTAAACTCAATTCATGTTTCATTTTTTTGTTTGTCTCTTTTTGTTTTCAGATAACTCCCAAAAATGTGTTGTGAAACTTTACCCCAAATATATATTAAAATCGGTTACAACTTAACAGGATCACTCTCTCTCTCTCTCTTTCTTCTTTGTGTCCTGCTATTTTAGGAGGGGGGAGGTCTTCTATGTCTAATAGAATCTAAGCCCAAAAGCTGGGCGGAGATTTTAGATCTTCTCATTTTCTAATATAAACACTTCAAGTTACAAACATCACTCCAGGTACTATTGTAGTAGCATCTCATAAAATATGGTCTGTTTTATGTGATTATTCCAGAGTTCTGAATACTTTATAGTTTCCTGTATGATTTTTAGAATGTGATTGATTATCTAGAAGTTTGTTGTTTAATTTCCAAATACTTGAGGGTTTTTTCCTCCTAGATACCTTCTCTTTATTGATTGCTAACTTCTCTCCACCATGGTCACCATGTATGATTTAAGTCCCTTTAAGTTGATGCACTTGTATTACGACCCAGAATATAGTCTCTCATAATTAATACAACTGTGTGTACTTGAAAAAGTGTGGTTGCAGTTATTCAGTATAGCGTTTTAAAAATATTAATTCATTTAAGGTGATGGATAAGGTTTTTTGGATCTCCTAGGTCTTTCCTGATATTTTATCTAGTTATTCCATCATTACTGAAAGAAGCATATTAAACTCTCCAACTGTAATTGTAGAGTTGTTTATTTTCCCTTTAATTTTTTCCATTTATTACTTCATGTATGTGGAGCTCTGTTGGTAAGCCCATGCATGTTTATGATTGTTATGATATCCAATGAACTCACCCTTTTACCCCTACAAAATATCACTCTACCACCAGAAATACTCTGTGCTTTATACTCATTAATATGGACACTCCAGTCTTTTTTATTTACTGTTTGCATAGTACATTTTTTTCTATACATTCATTTTAAACTTATCCATGTTTTTATATTTCAGGTGTTTCTTTTCTAGCAAACATATCTATAGCTTTGCATTTTTAAATAGATTTTAACAATCCTTGCTTTTTAAGCAGATATTTAAACCATTAACATTTAACATTAACCTTTACTTTTCTTCCCACTCTATACTGGATGGCATCTCCCAGACAATACTGAATATAAATTGTAAGAATTGGCATCCTAGTTTCATTCCTAACACAGGGAGAAGGGTAGATGTGGAAAAAGCTTTTAATAATTTATCATTGGTGGCTCAGTCAGTTAAGCATTCAATTTCGGCTCAGGTCATGATCTCACAGTTCATAACTTCGAGCCCCAAGTTGGGCTCTGTGCTGACAGTTTGGAGCCTGGGGTCTGCTTTGGATTCTGTGTCTCCCTCTCGCTCTCTGCCCCTCTCCGGCTTGTCTTCTCTCTCTCTCTCTCAAAAATTAATAAATAGGCAATTCAAAATTAATAATTTATCATTCAATACAATGTTTCCTGTTATACTCTTTACTTTTGCATTTAAAATTATCATTACAGGGGTGCCTGGGTGGCTCAGTTGGTTAAGCAGCCGACTTTGGCTCAGGTCATGATCTCACAGTTTGTGAGTTTGAGCCCCATGTCATGCTCTGTGCTGACAGCTCAGAGCCTGGAGCTTGCTTCGGATTCTGTGTCTCCTTCTCTCTCTGCCCTTCCCCTGCTCATGCTCTGTCTCTCAAAATATAAAATAAACTTGAAAAAATTATCACTACAAAAAAATAAAATTATCATTATATTTTGCATGAATTATTAGGAGAAAATATTTTCCAAGAAAATATCATAGCAACATCTCTTAATTTTGTTTCCCTCTTTCTGTCCCATCTTCTATAACCTGCGTAAGGAGAACATTATTGAAACTAATGTGTATTTTTCATGGCCTCTCAGTGTGTCTTCGCTTACATGTCGGTCGATAGATGGCACTCTTGCAGTTTTGGTGTCTTAAGTCCAAATGCTTTTTGCCTTTAAGAAAGCACAACTACCTCTTTGATCGATATTAAAAACCAATTGTAAATCTAATCTGGTTCTTATGGATGATTTTAAATGGCTAACAATGACCGTTATATCCAGTCACTTTTAAATGTATTTATTTATTCACACAATGAGCATTCATTGAACAGCTTGCCTATGGCAGGCACTAGGATGGGCCCTTGGGATAGAACAGAGATCATTTATTTCCTATAAAAGTTTCAGGAAAGCTAAAATATGTAAAAAGAAATTATATCCTACACACTATGATAAGGTAATAAAAAGTGTGGAAGCCAAGAAAAACCCCAAAGAAGCATTGGGTTTTGGCAGAATCTGGCTACTTCTGTGGAGCTGATAATGTCTGAGCCACAGTCTGAAGGAGAAGTGAAAGTTCACCATGGAGAGAAGGGAGAAGGAAATCCCATATGTGCAAAGGTCAAGAGTCATGAAATGTGTTCCATGTTATGTGAATACAGTGAAGTTCCAGTACCAAGAGCATGGAGTCCGTGAGGATGATTGGTCTCAAGTAAACCTAAGACCGACAGAGTGAGGCACATCTGGCAGAACTCATACCCCCTTCCTCCCTGTCTCTGCATATTTCCTTTATAGGATATTTACATGGAGGAAAAACTCACAACCACCTCTGAGCCAAGGTGCTGGGGAAGGTGGAAAATGAATACGCTTGGCTTTCTCATCCCAGCCTGGGCTCTTCCCCTTCCCCATCAAATCTCTCCCTTTGAAGGGGCCCAGACAGCCCAAGTTCAGG